CTGGGGGTACTGAGCCTGGGGGTGCTGAGCCTGGGGGTGCGGTGACTGGGGGTGCTGAGCCTTGCGATGCTGGGTCTGAGGGTGCTACACCTGGACGCGACCTCTCCTCGGAGCAGTTGCGTGAGTGGTACTTACAGTACTGCAGCCTCCGGAGTGTTACCTCTGGGACCAGGCGCACTACAGGGACTGGGGCTGGTACTTCTCCTCCTAGTCGGGAGCTCCCCTCTTGTGAGCGGATCCGTGAGTGGTACGAGCGCCGTCGCACACTTCCGAGTGGTGCGCCTCGTCTCACGGACCCGACTGCCCCTGGTGCTACGGGCCCGGGCGTTGGAGCTGCTGCTGGTGCCGCGGAACCCTGGCGTTGGAGCTACTGCTGGTGCTGCGGACCGTGGCGTTGGAGCTGCTGCTGGTGCTGCGGACCCGAGGGTTGGAGGTGCTCCTAGTGCTGAGGACCCGGGCGTTGGGGCTGCGGCCGGTGCTGCGGACCCTGGCGTTGGAGCTGCGGCTGGTGCTGTGGACCCTGGTGTCGGAGTCCCTGCTGGTGCTGAGGACCCGGGCGTTGGAGCTGCGGCAGGTGCTGTGGACCCTGGTGTTGGAGCCACTGCTGGTGCTGAGGACTCGGGCGTTGGTGCTGAGGCTAGTACTGAGGACCTGGGCGTTGGAGCTGCTGCTGGTTCTGGTACTGCCGCTGGGGGTACAGGTGCTGTCCCTGCTGTGTCTGGAGTCGCCACGCGCCCTCAGCCGTACTTCGTTCCGCTCCTTCAGCAGGTTCTTGGTCTCTCGCCTCCTCCTGGTCCTCCTCCCTTAGCGTGTTCACAGCCTGTCCCGTCACAGTTACAGTTGCAGCCGGCCTCCCCACTACCTGCTCCTTCTCCTTACACTGGTCCTACTGGCGGTCTTACTGAGCGTCGTGAGTCTGCGTCTCGTCCAGCGTCGCCTGTCCGTCCTGCTAGCGCTAGAGCTCGTAGTTCGCGCCAGCGTCCTCCTCCTGCCCCTGGCACGCACCGGATGTCTCTGCGTCCGTCTACTGCTCCTCTGCGTGCCCCTTTGCCTTCTCCTCCTGCGTCCTCTCTTCCTGCTCTCGCCGACCCTGAGTCGGACTCTCTTCGTGCTGCCAGTCCTACTGTCACGCGTCTCCTTGCTATTGTTGTCACTGACCCTTCTTTCGACTCTACTGCTGCGTCTGCTCTCGTTACTGAGCTCGTCGACTTTGCTGCTCGCTGTCGCTTAGACAACGCTACTAGTCTTGTCGCTGAGTCTGAGTCTGTCTGTCCTCCGTCCGTCGGGGGTGAGTGTGCCCTTGGCACGGACGTCCTTGAGGACAGGCAGGAAGAGTTCCAGTGTCTGGCAGCTGCTTCACCTCATCTCGTGTCCGTACTGCTTACCCCTGAGGGAGACCCGGATGCACTTGACATCCCGACTCCGCGCTCTTACGCGGAGGCTATAGAGGGTCCCTACTCCTCTCAGTGGCAGGCAGCTATGGATGCAGAGATGGCTTCCTGGAAGTCCACAGGCACCTACGTTGACGCTGTCCCCCCTCCTGGGGCGAACATCGTCAGTGGCATGTGGATCTTCAGGGTGAAGCGGCCGCCGGGTTCTCCGCCTGTCTTCAAGGCGCGTTACGTGGCTCGTGGCTTCAGTCAGCGACAGAGAGTTGACTACTTTCAGACCTTCTCCCCCACCCTGAAGATGACCACTCTTCGGGTACTCCTCCACGTTGCTGCTCACCGGGACTACGAGCTGCACTCTCTCGACTTCAGCACAGCTTTCCTGCAGGGCAGCCTGCACGAGGAGATCTGGCTGCGCCGCCCACCTGGCTTCACTGGGTCTTTCCCTCCTGGTACCCAGTGGAGTCTCCGGCGTCCAGTCTACGGTCTCCGCCAGGCGCCACGTGAGTGGCACGACACACTGAGGACTACGCTTGCGGCTCTTGGGTTCGCTCCGTCTACTGCCGACCCGTCGTTGTTTCTGCGCACCGACACCTCTCTACCGCCGTTCTACATCCTCGTGTACGTCGACGACTTGGTCTTTGCCACAGCTGACACTACTGGACTCGCCTACGTGAAGTCCGAGCTGCAGAAGAGACACACGTGCACAGACCTGGGTGAACTGCGCAGCTACCTTGGCTTGCAGATCACCCGGGACAGAGCACGCCGCACCATTACCCTGACTCAGTCACACATGGTGCAGCAGGTCCTTCAGCGCTTCGGCTTCACGTACTCCTCGCCTCAGGCCACTCCTCTGTCTACTCGCCACTCGCTCTCAGCTCTACCTTCGGATGAGTCCGTAGAGTCGAGTGGCCCGTACCCAGAGCTTGTTGGCTGTCACATGTACCTGATGACCTGCACACGACCTGACCTTGCATACCCTCTTAGCATTCTTGCACGCTATGTTGCTCCTGGGAGACACCGACCAGAGCACATGGCTGCAGCGAAGAGGGTGTTGCGCTACTTGTGCAGTACGTCGGGCATGGGGCTAGTGCTTGGAGGGCGAAGTCCAGTGGTCCTCACTGGACACGCAGACGCTTCTTGGGCTGACGACCAGGCTACGCAGCGGTCGTCACAGGGTTACACCTTCAGCCTTGGTTCCGGCTCTGCTTCGTGGCGGGCTACTCGCTCGTCTTCTGTTCTTGGCTCCAGTTGTGAGGCTGAGATCTACGCAGGGGCCATGGCTGCTCAGGAGCTTCGCTGGCTCACCTACCTGCTGACCGACCTTGGAGAGCCGCCTCGTTCTCCTCCAGTCGTGTACGTCGACAACAAGGCCATGCTGGCCTTGTGTCGGGAGCAGAGACTGGAGCAGAGAACAAAGCACATTGCTCTCCGCTACTTCCTTGCTCGTGAGCTACAGCAGCGTGGTCAGTTGCGACTTGCGTACGTGGCCTCTGAGGCCAACACTGCTGATGTCTTCACCAAGGCACTTCCGCCTTGTGATCATCAGCGCTGCTGTACCCAGCTGGGTCTTGTGTCTGTCTTGCCTCACTTGCTCTCCTCTTGACCCTCTTTGTACTGTTACATATATATATCACTGCTCTTGCTTGTTTAGTCTTATATATATATCTGTACTCCTGCATGTGAACTGGCCTTGTGGCCTTGAACTTGTGCTCGGATTGTGTGGTGACGTTGTGATCCACCCTGAGCTTGCTTTGTTTTGCTTTACTTGACTGGTCTTGTGACCCCTAGTTCTCCCCCACTTCGCCTATGGGGGTGTGTCAAACATTATATATGTTGTTGTAGTTGTTTAGGCTACATTGGGTTAGCCTATAGTGGGTATACATTCCTAGGTTTTGATACTTGTACTCATTTCACTCTTAGTTCATTCATTCTTGTTCAACACGCGGTCGACCATGCTGCGTTGGAGGTCAACCAGCAGCCTAGTTAGCTCTGGTGTAGTCTGTGATGCCAATGTTGTTGCTATCATTGTTGTCAACTTTTCCTAGTGAAACTCTTGCTAATTCTCCCCGTGAACTAGCAAGTAGTGTGTGCACAAGGAAACGACTAAGGAACGAATATAGAGATCACTCCTACCTCGTGCCTAGCCCGTAGTCTATCTCCCGTTGATTGAATTATCTCCTCACCTTCAACTCGGAAGCACTACTTCTTCCTATTGTCTGCCCCACAGCGTCTCTCGCCCACAAGCCCTTCTCGGACTTACCTCCAAGCTACGAACGATACGAACCAGTCGAGAAAGTCTACAGCGACTTCATGATACTTAGCCAAGAAGGGCTAGATGGCGAGCAGAACACGATGACCTTCATAGACACCTGCACGCGCTATGTCTGGGCAGTCTATATTGACTACCGCTCACGAGCCTTTGACTGTTTCATAACATGGATAAAATGTGCCGAGCGCCAGTCATGACTGAAGCTGAAAAGCTTCCAGACAGACGGAGATGCTGAATTTTCCTCAACTGAGTTCAAAGAACTCTTCGCCAAGAAATGGATTGAGCACCTAGTGTCCCTGCCCTACGTTCACGAACAGCAAGGAGTAGCGTATGAGGGAAAGGCAGTGCACAAGGGAAGGGTAATGTATGAGTCGCTGCTATCGTCACTCTGTTTTTCGATGTGAAGTGTAACCGCGATAGTCTGCAACGTGGGTATTGGTCGAGCCCTAGGTTGCTGGTAAAAGCTGCCTAAACGACGAATCAGCAACTGGATCTGGTCTGCACTAGTGCCAACGAAGGGATATCAGCAAACATTGCGTAGTCAAAATCAGAGGAGGTTAGTTTGATGGATCAAAGTATACTCTAACAAAAAACCTGAAATATCAAGTATATTTTTTTTTTATTCAGAGGTCATACGAAAAAAAAAAGGCTGAAGTTTCAGAGTCCACTTAAAAAAAAAAAAAAACTGAAATATTGGAGTTTTTCAGGTATATCAGAGAAATTTGTGTGACTTCTAGGGCCTGATCGAGGCCATAATACAATGAGCGAAGCATTATATAGCGAAGGCTAGTGTGGTAACGGTAATGTTCGAGAACGTGGTGCGCGACGGGCCTAGCGCCGAGGCTGGGAATTGTCGAGGCGGAGGACCGGAGCGCGGGTTACCAACCGAACCATGAGGTTGGGTCGCGATGTGAACAGTGGCGGGAACAGTGGTCGAGGCAAGTATCTCGAATGGTAACGTTTTACTATTGGGTGCTGTTGGCGGGAATAGTCGTGTACGCAGTAAGCAGGGGTGCGAAGTAAGGAAAAGGGATTTTCCTTTCATCATTACATTCCATACATATATTTCATATAATAAGACTCGTCGTCGTTCCTACCTATCTCACTTGGTTCTACTTTAGCCTGTTCTGATCCAAGCCAAAGATATGCGCCCACTTGCGTGACAAACCTCCGGAGCGCACGCGCATGCAGAGTTTTAACCGACCCCCGCCTCTCTCAATCACACACTGCTATGAAGAGTCGCCTTCCCACTCTAGTAAACCTCCATATGCTCCCTCCTCCTGCTCTTTCCCCTCTCCCCCCTCCCCCTTTCCACCCCCCATTTCTTTTCCCTTTCCCCTTCATTCGGGCTGCACAGCGCGGCGCCACGCGCCCGCCCTGAGCAGGTCCCAGGCGCTAAAGGATGATGTCTCGGGTGCGGGGGTGGGGGTGGCGGCACGGGGCGTGGTGGCGGCACGGGGCGTGGTGGCGGGGGAGCTGTAGTCGCCAGCGGCAGAAGCGGAGCGCACGGGCAGGTGGATGGAGCGGTCGGAGGAGGTGGCATGGGTAGGCATGGAGGGCGTGGAGGGGAGAGGAGTGCCGGTGTGAGGGGCGGCGGCGCTGTAGGGCAGCAGGAAGTGGAAGGCGGGGTCCTGCTGCAGCTCGGGCGGCGGGTCCAAGTCATCAATGTGCATGGCGGGGATGGCGAGGGCTATCTCGTCCACTGTGAACGGGATGCTGGCGGTGGAGGGGGGAAGGGGTCGTAGGAGGGAGGGATGAGGACGGGTCGGATGAGATATAGGAGGGATTAGGGGAGAGAGGAGAAAATGCGGGGAAAAAGAAATGGAGAGTTGAAGAGTGTGGGCACGTTGTCGTCCATACAAGCACAGCATGCATGCCGTCATGTGCATGCCCACCCACGCCCACACATGGCCCACCCACGCCCACACATGGCCCACCCACGCCCACACATGGCCCACCCACGCCCACACATGGCCCACCCACGCCCACACATGGCCCACTCACGCCCACACATGGCCCACCCACGCCCACCCACGTCCACCCAAGCCCACCTACACCCACCCATGCCCACCCACACCCATCCGCACCCACCCACGCCCTCCACTCACCTCTCATCATCCCGGAGCAGCATGGGCACCCCTCACCTGTCGTCGTCGCGGAGCAGCATGGGGCAGTCATCCACCATGAGCGCCCACATGCGCTCGGTGACGGAGGGGTCGACGCCCTTGGTGCCGTACGCGTCGTCCTCGTACCAGATGCACATGTGCACCAGCTGGTTCAGCGTGAGGTCCGGACACAGCTCCTCTATCTCCTCCAGCGACCGCCGCGGCTTGTGGTCCAGCGTCTGAGGGAGGGCAAAGGGAGATGCAGTGAGGAGCGAAGGGGAGGAGGTGGGGGGGAGGGGAAGCAGCGGACAATTGGTGAGGGTGGGGCCAGGGTGTTGGAAGGGCATGAGAAACGACAGCGACTGGGTTGCGGACATAGGTGTGGACTGCTGAGCCATCCCATCCAGCACAATGGGGGGATGGATGAGGCAGTGGGAGGAAGAGGAAAGTTACGCAGGTGGCCAGAGAAGAGTTGTTCCTGAGGTGGCAGGTGGGGGATTTGGCTGGTATTAGCAGCGGGACAAGAAAACATGGGGTTAACGAGGAAGAACATGGGGTTAACGAGGAAGAACATGGGGTTAACGAGGAAGAACATGGGGTTAACGAGGAAGAACATGGGGTTAACGAGGAAGAACATGGGGTTAACGAGGAAGAACATGGGGTTAACGAGGAAGAACATGGGGTTGACGAGGAAGAACATGGGGTTAACGAGGAAGAACATGGGGTTAACGAGGAAGAACATGGGATTAACGAGGAAGAACATGGGGTTAACGAGGAAGAACATGGGGTTAACGAGGAAGAACATGGGGTTAACGAGGAAGAACATGGGGTTAACGAGGAAGAACATGGGGTTAACGAGGAAGAACATGGGGTTGACGAGGAAGAACATGGGGTTAACGAGGAAGAACATGGGGTTAACGAGGAAGAACATGGGATTAACGAGGAAGAACATGGGGTTAACGAGGAAGAACATGGGGTTAACGAGGAAGAACATGGGGTTAACGAGGAAGAACATGGGGTTAACGAGGAAGAACATGGGGTTAACGAGGAAGTAGATGGGGTTAAAGAGGAAGTAGATGGCTCACGAGGAAGTAGATGGCTCACGAGGAAGTAGATGGCTCACGAGGAAGTAGATGGCTCACGAGGAAGTAGATGGCTCACGAGGAAGTAGATGGCTCACGAGGAAGTAGATGGCTCACGAGGAAGTAGATGGCTCACGAGGAAGTAGATGGCTCACGAGGAAGTAGATGGCTCACGAGGAAGTAGATGGCTCAAGAGGAAGTAGATGGCTCACTAGGAAGTAGATGGCTCACGAGGAAGTAGATGGCTCACGAGGAAGTAGATGGCTCACGAGGAAGTAGATGGCTCACGAGGAAGTAGATGGCTCACGAGGAAGTAGATGGCTCACGAGGAAGTAGATGGCTCACGAGGAAGTAGATGGCTCACGAGGAAGTAGATGGCCCACGAGGAAGTAGATGGCCCACGAGGAAGTAGATGGCTCACGAGGAAGTAGATGGCTCACGAGGAAGTAGATGGCTCACGAGGAAGTAGATAGCTCACGAGGAAGTAGATGGCTCACGAGGAAGTAGATGGCTCACGAGGAAGTAGATAGCTCACGAGGAAGTAGATGGCTCACGAGGAAGTAGATGGCTCACGAGGAAGTAGATGGCTCACGAGGAAGTAGATGGCTCACGAGGAAGTAGATGGCTCACGAGGAAGTAGATGGCTCACGAGGAAGTAGATGGCTCACGAGGAAGTAGATGGCTCACGAGGAAGTAGACGGCTCACGAGGAAGTAGATGGCTCACGAGGAAGTAGATGGCTCACGAGGAAGTAGATGGCTCACGAGGAAGTAGATGGCTCACGAGGAAGTAGATGGCTCACAAGGAAGTAGATGGCTCACAAGGAAGTAGATGGCTCACGAGGAAGTAGATGGCTCACGAGGAAGTAGATGGCTCACAAGGAAGTAGATGGCTCACGAGGAAGTAGATGGCTCACGAGGAAGTAGATGGCTCACGAGGAAGTAGATGGCTCACGAGGAAGTAGATGGCTCACGAGGAAGTAGATGGCTCACGAGGAAGTAGATGGCTCACGAGGAAGTAGATGGCTCAAGAGGAAGTAGATGGCTCACTAGGAAGTAGATGGCTCACGAGGAAGTAGATGGCTCACGAGGAAGTAGATGGCTCACGAGGAAGTAGATGGCTCACGAGGAAGTAGATGGCTCACGAGGAAGTAGATGGCTCACGAGGAAGTAGATGGCTCACGAGGAAGTAGATGGCTCACGAGGAAGTAGATGGCCCACGAGGAAGTAGATGGCCCACGAGGAAGTAGATGGCTCACGAGGAAGTAGATGGCTCACGAGGAAGTAGATGGCTCACGAGGAAGTAGATAGCTCACGAGGAAGTAGATGGCTCACGAGGAAGTAGATGGCTCACGAGGAAGTAGATAGGCTCACGAGGAAGTAGATGGCTCACGAGGAAGTAGATGGCTCACGAGGAAGTAGATGGCTCACGAGGAAGTAGATGGCTCACGAGGAAGTAGATGGCTCACGAGGAAGTAGATGGCTCACGAGGAAGTAGATGGCTCACGAGGAAGTAGATGGCTCACGAGGAAGTAGATGGCTCACGAGGAAGTAGATGGCTCACGAGGAAGTAGATGGCTCACGAGGAAGTAGATGGCTCTCGAGGAAGTAGATGGCTCACGAGGAAGTAGATGGCTCACAAGGAAGTAGATGGCTCACAAGGAAGTAGATGGCTCACGAGGAAGTAGATGGCTCACGAGGAAGTAGATGGCTCACAAGGAAGTAGATGGCTCACGAGGAAGTAGATGGCTCACGAGGAAGTAGATGGCTCACGAGGAAGTAGATGGCTCACGAGGAAGTAGATGGCTCACGAGGAAGTAGATGGCTCACGAGGAAGTAGATGGCTCACGAGGAAGTAGATGGCTCACGAGGAAGTAGATGGCTCACGAGGAAGTAGATAGCTCACGAGGAAGTAGATGGCTCACGAGGAAGTAGATGGCTCACGAGGAAGTAGATAGCTCACGAGGAAGTAGATGGCTCACGAGGAAGTAGATGGCTCACGAGGAAGTAGATGGCTCACGAGGAAGTAGATGGCTCACGAGGAAGTAGATGACTCACGAGGAAGTAGATGGCTCACGAGGAAGTAGATGGCTCACGAGGAAGTAGATGACTCACGAGGAAGTAGATGACTCACGAGGAAGTAGATGGATGGCTCACGAGGAAGTAGATGGCTCACGAGGAAGTAGATGACTCACGAGGAAGTAGATGGCCTGGCGGATGTGTCGGAGCTCGCGCTTGAGGGGCTCCTTGCTGCCGCCCATGGCGTCTCGCAGCTGCACCTCCACGTCGTGCACCCACTGCTCCAGCCGCCCCAGCCCCTCCTCCATCAGCTCCCCGTTGCTGTACGTGCACGGACACCACTGCGCGCGCACCATCAGCCTGTTGGGGGGAAGGAGAGGAGGTTGAGATTGCATTAGCTGCATGAGTGGGAAGTAAGTATTGAGATTGCAGTAAAATGAAAAGTGGAAGAGCACAGAAGTGGAAAGAAGCATCGATTTTATTCATGAGCTGAGCCAACCAATATTTTCTGCATTTGTGTATTAGAAAAGTCTTTAAGTGCACAACCGTCGTGCACAACCGTCTCTCATTACAGCTCACACCCCAACCCTCCTCGGCCTAGACAAATTATAGTTAAGTGTCACGGATGCCGGTCGGTCATGTTTGTGGTGCTCACCCGTTGACGATCTTGACATTTACGAAGAATAGCAGCTGCCGCAGCAGCGCATCCACCACCACCGCCGGCACGTGGTTCGCTGCCAGTGTGGCCGTCACCTTGGAGGGGGAAGAGAAGGGGGTGGCGCGGAGAAAGAGCGGGTGGGTGAGGAGGGAGGGGGGTTTGAAGAATTGAATGATGGATTACTTGGAGGATAGGGGTTATCCAAGGATGGGGGGAATGGGGGGACGGGATTACATGCCATGGCATGCCATGCCATAGTATTCATGGAAAAGTGATTCATGGAAGGAGCACACACGAATGTCCCGGTAGTTCACCTGCTTGAGAGTGACCACCACGTTGGCCCAGTAGTTCACCACGTGCTTCCGCACCATCGCTGCCCCCGACCGCCCCCCTCCCCTCGCCCTCCCCCGCGCCAGCCGCCTCCCCCCTCCGCCGCCCGCCTTGCCGCCCTTCCCTGCCGCTGCGTCACCGGCTGCTTGGTCGCCCTCTGCTTCCGCTGCCGCGTCCTGAGATTCCTGCGAGGGGGAAGGCGGGGGAAAGGGAAGGGGGGGGGGGAGGCACACGTGGGAGTGACGCTGGGAGTACTATTCTTGGCGGCAGTGACGAGTAGAGGCAGGCGGAGGATGGGTGAGGTGGGTGAGCAGCAGGGAGCCAGAGCGGATCACTTAAGTGGGAATCGCCCATGAATGACAGCCATGCCGTACTAGTCGCGCCCACTGCTGCTTCTGCCCCCAACCAAGGTCCCCCAAACCAAGGTGCTCATGTGTCCCACCGACCTGCGAGGGCAGGGCAAAGTGCTTGGCGAGCTCGGCCTTGGCGGCGTCCCTGATGGTGACGAAGAGGCGCTCCGTGCCCGTGGCCAGCTGCTGCTTGAACAGCATCACATCCACTCTCTCCACCGCTGCCTTGGGCTGGCACGATGGACGGGATGGCGGGAGAGAGAGGTGGGCAGGGCCCCCGCCGCGGGGGTGAGAGGGTGGAAGGAAGTGAGAGTGGAACAGAACGAGAGGGTGGAGGGAAGTGAGATTGCAGAAGGGTTCAGGAGCGAAAGGGAGTGAGAGGGTGGAGGGGAGTGAGAGGGTGGGGGGAAGAGAGAGTGTGGAGGGAGGGGAGTGAGAAGGTGGAGAGGAGTGAGAGGGTGGAGGGATGTGAGATGTTGGAGGAGTGAGAGGGTGGAGGGGAGTGAGAGGGTGGAGGGAAGTGAGAGGGTGGAGGGATGTGAGAGGGTGGAGGAGTGAGAGAGTGGAGGGGAGTGAGAGAGTGGAGGGGAGTGAGAGGGTGGAAGGATGTGTGGGGGTGGCGGGATGTGAGAGGGTGGAGGGATGTGAGAGGGTGGAGGGATGTGAGAGCGTGGAGGGATGTGAGAGCGTGGAGGGATGTGAGAGGGTGGGGCACTGACAGGAGCGGCGGGGCGGGAGGCCATGCCGAAGAAGGAGAAGGAGAAGCTCTCCTGGGCGGGCTGCTCCACTGGCGGCTGGTACACCACCTGGGGGCAGAGGCGGTGTGGGAAGGGGAGGACGACACAGCAGCTGTAGAGTGTGTTTACGGGCAGCGTGGCTAGCTCTTGCTGCCGGCAGCGTGGCTAGCTCTTGCTGCCGGCAGCGTGGCTAGCTCTTGCTGCCGGCAGCGTGGCTAGCTCTTGCTGCCGCTGAGGGCTGTGCACAGCAGCTCAGGGTAAAGAGGGGCGGCGGGAGGGAAACGGAAGGATGTCTTGCTATTGGGGGCTTGCACACCAGGTGCCATGGGCAACGGGTCGACCCGACCAGACTCAAACCGTTTGCTCGACTAGGCATAAGCAGGAGGCCCGCTCGGGTCGGTCGGGCGTGATTTTGCCCGGGTCGGGTCAGGGGTTTAAATAGCATGCCCCGGGCAGGTCGGCCCGACCCGACCCGGGATAAAACCCGACCAGAGCAGGGAACTCGGGCCGGGCCTTTGGCCCGCGTTGACCTGACCCGACTTCAGGTCACAACTGACCCGACCCGATTTCGACACAGGGGGGACAGGACACTCCAACACATGGATGTCGACACAGGGGGGACAGGACACTCCAACACATGGATGTCGAGGGTTATTTTATCTACTCGACATCAATTCCTTCCCACAACCCTAAGTTCCTTTCTTCAGCAATCAATGGCACCTAGGAACCTTAAAGTTTGCAGCTAAAGAATGATGCGACAAGTAAATAGTCGACTATATGGAGAGACTCAATGTCGAGAGATCTGTAAAGAGTGGGAGGGGGGGTTGCGAATTGTAGATTTAGTGCGGTAAGGAGTGGTGAGCTGTAGCGAATTGGTTGGAAATGTTTGTTCCAACAAAGTTTGTTGGAAGCTAGTGCCAGGGTGAGTAAATCATCGGCAAAAATTGTGAGAATCTCATGGTTGAAAAGAGAGATGAATTCAAGAGTTTATGTCAAGAAAAACGTGGGTACATATAGGAGAGAAACGTGAGGGTAACTTGGAGAGGTACCCAAAGCATTATTGGTGGATTAATAAGAATGGTCACCAACTTTGGGCTGACTGTCAATAATTGGGGGGGTGGGGGGGGGGGAATAATGGTTGGATGAACCAGCCAAGTTGGTTTCCCCCTTTAATTGCGGTCGAGTGGGTTTGGGGTGCAACCAACCAAACCTGGTCCAAAGTGTACATCCACATTGGGTGTAACACTTGCACCATTATAAACTGACATATGCTATATTCTAACAAAAATCCCGATCCCCTGATCAACCAGTGAAATTGATGATCTGCACAGTTACGCCAACAAAATCGCCGATCTGTGCAGATCAGCGGACGAAAGCGCCGATCAGCACAGAGCATGGGAGAAAGCGGGTTACCTGACCCAACCCGACCTCGGGTCGGCCGGACCCAAAGTCGGGTCAGGAAAGACCTGGCCCTGTCTGTACCCCCGGGTCGGGTCAGGATATTCAACATCCTGGCCCGAGGCTGACCCGACCCGACCCGGCCCGAGAACCCGCTTGGCCCGGCCAAGTCGGGCCGGGCAGAGCCAAATGCCCATGCCTATGCTCGACCCGAGGCGGGTACCGGGTCAGGTCGGGCGGACCCGACCCGAGGTAAGAACCCCCGGAAACTCGACCCAACTCGGGCTTATAGGCGTGGGTCGGCTGTGGTTCGAAGGCGGGTCGGGTCGACCTGATGGCAAATCGGGTCGACCGACCTGTCGCATTTTAATATTGTGGCGGGTCGGCGATTTTGTTAGTTCATGATATTCCTCAAAATTGTCCGGATCAGACAATCGTGGACGAAATGGTAATTAGGTGGGGACGTGCTCGAAAATCAGGTCGGAAAATGGTGATTGCGACCTCCAATGCGTACCCGCGCAGCTCTAGTCACGCAGGTGTCCAGGCAAACAGTTCTAAATGTAAGTGCGTTACCTACCCTTATGGATGGTTCTTAGTGTAAGTGCTTTACTTACCCTTGCAGTTGGTACTAAATACAAGTGTGCAACACAACCACCAACCATGAGTGTGAGTAATGCACTTACACTTAGTACCAACTAGACATGAGTAAATCTCCTAATACCTGTTCGGTTCGCCCGAACATGTTTGTGACCGAACCGAACCAAACATGTCTTTTGTCAAAAAATGTTCGGCCAAACACGTTTGATGTTCGGAAGGGAGGGAGATGGAGGCGACGGGGGAGGAGCTGGCCCACTGAACACACACTTCCGAACCTCGAACATGTTTGGGTTCGCCCCGAACATGCAGATGTTCGCCCCGTATCACGAACCTCCAACACCCTAAATCCCAAAAAAAGGTTCGGGAACATGTTCGCTTCGCCCCCTTCACATGTTCGTTCAGGGAAAACCGAACATCTTTGGTGTTCGCCAGTTGCCTATGTCTAGTACCAACTATAGGGGTTATTAACGCACTTACTCTTGGTACCAGCCATAAGTTGTGTCAAAATAAATGGACTCGCAGGGCATTGTATGTGCGGACCTGCACGAGGTAGTAGAGCACGCACCTGCACGAGGTAGTAGAGCACGCACCTGCACGAGGTAGTAGAGCACGACGTGGTTGGTGAGCCAGTAGGCCTGCGAGGGCAGCAGCTGGTCGGTGGAGCCACGCTGGAAGGCCTCCACGATGCGGTCGAACGTGTTGGTCCGCTCCGCCTCCAGCGCGCCCCACTGCAGCAGCGCACGGTACACCATGCACGCCGCCACCGGCTGCCCCTCGGGGCCGAACGGGAAGCGGCTGCTCGCCACCTCCGACAGCAGCAGCTCCTATAAGGGGGGACGATGGGAGGGCGAGAAGAGAGGGACGAAAGCGGATGGCGTGCTAGGGGGAATGGGGGTTAGGGTTGGGAAGTAGTGGGGAGAGAAGGTGCATGGTACTGGTCATCCAGGGGGGCTGAGGGGTGGGAAAGACACACATGGCACTTGTGAAATGAGGATTGGATGGGAGCTCTTAAAACAGTAGGTCACGCACCTGCTGCTTGTCCACGCACCTGCTGCTTGTCCACGCACCTGCTGCTTGTCCACAGGCAGCTCCTCCACGTCGCTGTCAGCCTGCGATGCCAGCAACCGCTGGCTGAGCGTGCGCACCTCCCGCGACTTGCTGCGATGGTGGTGTGGGGGTAGGCAGGTGGGGTGGGATATTGTCGTGGAGCGGGGCGGATGTGGGATGGACGGGAGGGAGCGATGGATGGTGGGGGAGCGATGGAAGGTGGGGGAGTGACGGATGGTGGGGGAGCGATGGAAGGTGGGAGAGTGATGGACGGTTGGTGAGCGATGGAACGTGGGGGAGTGATGGATGGTGGGGGAGCGATGGAAGGTGGGAGAGTGATGGATGGTTGGTGAGCGATGGAAGGTGGGGGAGTGATGGACGGTTGGTGAGCGATGGAAGTTGGGGGAAAGATGGATGGTTGGTGAGCGATGGATGGTGAGCAATGGATAGTGAGCAGGACGTGAGAGGTGAAGGTGCGAGCGACTGGAGGTTGTGAAAGGGAGCAGGAAATTCTGGCCGAGGGGATCTGCTCACAAATACCCTTAAGACAAGTGATAGAAGGTTGTGAAACGAAGGAAATCTGCAATTCTTGTAATACGGTTACAAGCCAATACGGTGTGATGGCTGACGGACAGGGTGAGGCCGCGCTGCAGCTCCTGGTGTTTCTCAGTAAGCTCGCGGATCTCCCCGTCCTTTCGTTCCACACAGCACAGCACACAACGACACAGCACAGCACACAACCACACAGCACAGCACACAACCACACAGCACACAGCACACAACCACACAGCACAGTACACAACCACACAGCACAGCACAGAACCCGCTAGCTGCAGCTCCTGGTTCTTCCCAGCGAGCTCGCGAATCTCCTCGTCCTTCCGCTCCAGCGCGCGCTGCAGGTCGCCCACCCGCCCATCATTGGGTGGCCACCAACCAACCAGCCACGCAGGTGCATTGGGCAGCCCTATGTGGAGCAAGCTAGCTTGACTCTTGTTGTGGGTTTGGTTTGTTCCCACTGACATGGGTGCGTTGGTTACTGTCCATAAGAAAACATTACCACGCAGCACAGCACGGCACGTAGGCACACACCACACACACAGCAAGCAGCAAGAAGGCAGGGGCGACTGACAGGGTGAGAGCGAGCTGCAGCTCCTGGTTCTTCTCCATGAGCTCGCGGATCTCCTCGTCCTTCCCCTCCACTGTCCGCTGCAGCTCGCCCACCCGCCCGCGCTCCTCCGCTGCCGCTGCCAGTGCCGCCTCTGTTGCCGCCACTGCCTCCCGGTACAGCACCTGCAGCTGCCGCCTCTCCTCCTTCAGCTGGGTGGGTTGGGGGGAGGGAGGAGGAGGAGGAGAAGGTAGCGGGGGGGGGTGGGTAGTCAGTTGAGGGAGGAGAGATGGAGGGAAATAGCGGATTAGTGAGTCAGAAGAGGAGAAACGGGGTTGGGAGTGAAAGGGGGGAGGGGGGACGGGAGAGAGCGAGAGAGAGAGAGAGAGAGAGAGAGAGAGAGAGAGAGAGAGAGAGAGACAACGGCTTACTCACCGGTCGAAAACCTCAAAGCGGATATCTCTATCCGCCATCCCGACACCGGTGAAGTGTGGATCTGTGACATCACGGTCACGGACCCCGTCTCCCACCAGGATGAATACGCCCGTAAAGCTCCCGGTTGGGCTGCTAGAATGCAGGCGGACAAGAAGGCAAGCAAATACGCCAGGCGGAGCGCTTGGGTGGGCTTTTACGCCTTGGCGGTTGAGACCTACGGTTACCCCTCGAGTGGAGTCCTGGAATTCCTTCGCAGCTGCGCGGAGTTAGCGGCCATGCGGCGGTTCAACGCCACCCCCAAGTCGAGGGAATGCGCCAAGCTACTCACCGAGTACCGGCAGCGGTGGAGTGTGACCCTGCAGAGAGCGCAAGCCACTGCCCTCAGGGATAAGACCCATGAGGCCCTCACGGCGGATGCGCTCGGCCTGCAGGGCCCGTTTACTCCAATGAGTGAAGGGCAGCTGTATCAGTTGATAGAAGACCCCTCCGGCCATTAGGGCCGGGCGGGGAGGGGGGGGCTGGGGCTGGGATAGTGCGGGGTTAGCTGCTGTTTTGCTGTAGCCTGGCCGTGAGATTGCTGTAGCCTTACCATCTGTGTACCTCGCTGACATTAATACCAAGGCCCGTTCGAGAGAGAGAGAGAGAGAGAGAGAGAGAGAGAGAGAGAGAGAGAACATATTTGTCTCTCCTGCCTTCCAAGTGTTATTTGTCCAGAAAACATATCCCATCCACCATCCCTTACGTAACCCCCTCACCTTGTGCATCTCCTCCACATCCCTCTGAGCACTCGCCAGCATGCGCACGGCCTCGTCGCGGGTCAGCGACTTGGCCGACACCAGCGGCCGCGGCACGCCCGGCCCACCAACACCCTCCCCCCCTGCTCCTCCACCCATCCGCGGGTTGGACGACTGCAGCCGTCGGATCCTCGCCAACCGTGCATCCGCACCGTCGGGCGCGCTGCCAGAGCCCCCAGCAGCATCAGCGTTAGCAGCAGGTTTGAGGGCCTTCCCCATGGACTGCAGCCGCAGCATGCTCTTCCCAACGGGCAGCGTGCTGGCACGAGTGTACCCGGCCTCTGCCTCGCTCTCCTCCGGTCCCATGGAGGGGAACCGCACTTGCCTCAACCCCCCGCTGCTGCCACCAAACTCCGTGGTGCCGCTGCCGCCACTGCTGGTTCTGCTCACTGCAACCACCTTCTTCTCCTCGCCCTCCTCGCGTGACGCCGACTCCTGAATGCACGGCAGGTGATGGGCGTCCGCCGCGCCGCCATGGCCCCTGTGGGCGCCGTCGTGCATGCCCTCCCCACCTGCCGCTGCTGCCGCTGCACCTTCAGCTCTCTCCATCGCTGCCACCGCTGCCGCGGCTGCAGCCGCCATGCCACCCCCGCTGCTGCCAGGGGGGGACGCTATGGAGGAGGGAGGCAGGGGAGGGACAGGCGAGGAGCGACTGGAGGAGGAGGAGAAGGACGGGGAGCTCGTGAGAGCAGCACTCGCAGCACCACCCGCAGCACCGCCAGCAGCAGCAGCAGCGGTTTCCTCCCACGTGGGGTGATTGGCAGGTGTGTGCGGCGAGGGGTGTCTGCGCGACGCCATGCGGGCGAGGATCCTCGACCCCTCCGGCACCCCCAGATTGCCCCCTGGTGCCCCCGCTCTCCCCCCGCTCTGCTGCGACGCCAAATGCTTGTCCACCACCACTCCCAGCGCTCCCCCTGCCAGAGCAGCCACTGCAGCTGCAGCAGCGGAGGGTGAGGAGGAGGACGAGGAGAAGCCTGACCCACCCAAGGAAGGCAGGCTGCTCAGCGCCCCTGCTGCTGCTCCTCCTCCGCCTGCTGCTGCTTTATGTGAGGCCACAGATGCCACATGCAGCACTCGCTCCCGCCCCTCCGCCCGCTCCCTGTCCTGATCCCTCAGCATCTCCTCCAATCGCTCCTCTGCCAGCTCTGCCCGCTGCTGCTCCTGCTCCAGCTGCCCCACCAGCCGCGCCACCTCACGCACCTTGCCTGCCAGCTCCTTCTTGGTCCGCTCCAGCTCAGCACGGACCTCTGCCAGCTGGCGCTCTGAGTGTGCACGGCTTTTTTCAGCCTTTTCCTGAGAAGGGGGGAGAGGGATTTTGATGAGGCGGGCGGGCGAGCAGTGCAGAGATGGATGTGGGAGCAAAGGGAGGAAGAGGGTGAATATGGGTAATGCGGGAGAGATAAGGAATTGGTGCGGCGAGGGGCAGGAAGGTAGGTGACAAGGAGTGAAAGGCAAGGCCTGTCTGAAACGAAGAGGTACCTTAGAGTGTGTATGGTGAATGCCCTGTCATACCATGGACAATTTCATTTCCACTGGTTAGCATCACCCACATCACCAGCTATACTAGAGTTGCTCGCGAGAATTCTCACAGGCACCACTCCTAGTTGCATCCCTCTCACATTGCTCTCCCCTCACGGCTTCCCTCTCCCCTCACGGCTTCCCTCTCCCCTCACGGCTTCCCTCTCCCCTCACGGCTTCCCTCTCCTCTCACCCGCATCACGCGCAGTGTCATCATGCGGATGGTCTCGATGGCCACGTCCGTCTTCTTGCGCGGCGGCGCCAACTCCGCCTGCCGACTCGCCTCCTGCGGGTGGTTGGAGTGGGAGGAGCGGGGAGGGCAGGAAAAAGGGGAAGGGGAGGTGGGGGAAGGGGGAACTGGTCGGTATGGATGCTGAGACACGCCAGATCCACCTGCAGGCTCGCCTCCTAAACGTGAGCAGAGCAGGAGAAGCAGAAAGGGCCGGAAAAGGAGGCAGGGAGGGAGATGGTTGGGTTGGAAGGTGAGAGGCGTAAGCAGCGCAGGAATAGCAGAAAATCCGGGAAAAGGAAGAGAAGAGGGGGATTGGTTAGTATGGATGAAGGTTAAAAAATATGGTCTTACTCTTAAAATGTTACCGTAAAATACGGTATCCAATAATAGGCTCCTGTGAGAAATCATAGAGCGATTTCAAAAATACAGTCGTATGCTGAACTTTGGTATGGATGGCGAGAACAAGGGAACGCTATGACTCACCAGCTTGAGGTTGTGCATTCGGAGGCGCGCCACTCTACCCGCCAGCATGTGCTTGAGCGCCCGCCACGGCCGCCTGTGAATGTAGCCCCGCCACGTGCTCTGCATGGGGGCGTGGTGAGAGGGAGGGGGGGGGGGTGGCACACAAGGCACGGCAAGGGGGGGAGTATCGACTTCCAGAGCTCATTGCAGGATTTTCAACCCACTGCATGCATCGCGACAGCAGCGTGCCTCGTGCTGCACCAGCAAGACCCCAGCGTGCTGCAACGCACCTGAATGCGGGTGCCTCGTGCTGCAACGCACCTGAATGCGGGTGCCTCGTGCTGCAACGCACCTGAATGCGGGTGCCTCGTGCTGCAACGCACCTGAATGCGGGTGCCTCATGCTGCAACGCACCTGAATGCGGGTGCCTCATGCTGCAACGCACCTGAATGCGGGTGGCGGCGAGGCGGCGGCGAGTGTTGGCATAGGCGGTGCGGCAGAGGTGCATGCGCACAGCGGCCTGCACCACCAGTGCGGCGTGGCGCAGCTGCAGGAAGCGCAGGCGCTGCTGCCGCCCCCTCTCCGCCGCCTGGATGGTCGTTGCTGCCACGTCCCTGCGCAACTGCTGGTACGCCGCGCGCGCACAGTGGCCTGGAGGGGTGTTGGAGATTGGAGAGAGAGGAGGTGGGGAACGAAACCGAGGGATGAGAACAGAAGGGAAGAGAAGGAGGGGGAGGAGGGGGAGGGAGCAGAAGGCAGCTCCGCGAGAGGGCACAGCAGCCACATCACTGCGCAACAGCTGGTAGGCCGCGCGCACACAGAAGCCTGGAGGGGCAGAGGGGGGGATGGGGGGGGGAAGAGTTGGGAAGTGGGGACGGGAAGGTAGCGAGTGTGAGTGAGGGATGGCAGGGTCGCACAGTGGGAGAGGGGCAGGGGGCCCTTCTTCCCCTGCATGCCAATCCTCGGCCTTTAACGCTCGCCCCCTCGAGCCACTGTGCCTGGATGAGCATCTCACAGTACCCCACCCCACCCCATCTCACCGCACCACACCGCACCGCACACCTCACCTCGCCAGCACCTCACCCCTGCCTCACCCCACCACCACTTCACCTCACCCCTGCGTCTGGATGAGCATCTCACCTCGCCAGTGGGTCTGCCCACTGCACCACATCGCACACCTCACCTCGCCAGTGTGTCTGGCCACTGCACCACATCGCACACCTCACCTCGCCAGTGTGTCTGGCCACTGCACCACATCGCACACCTCACCTCGCCAGTGTGTCTGGATGAGCAGGGCGGCGCGCCTGCGATGGCGATTGAAGAGGAAGTGCCGAGTGGCGCGCTGAATCTTCCTGGCAGCTTCGTTCATGGCGTCCAGGCGCATGCTCTGCAGCAGCGCCATCTGCCCCGCGCGCAGAAACACCTTGGTCAGCCCGATCTGCGCACGTGCAGGGAGGGAGAGGTGGAGAGGGAAGGGCGTCAGGGGGAGGGAACGGAAAGGTGGTGGGGAAGGGTGAGTGCACACACCATCATATGCACCAGCTGCCCGCCCGCAGGAACACCTTGGTCACCCCGATCTGCGCGCGTGAGGGAGAGGGGGTGAGGAGGCAAAAGGGGGCGTGTAGGGGATGAAGGAGGCATGATAAGCACCATCAACTGTCCTGCCCTGAGGCACACCTTGGCTCGCCATCCCGATCCGGCTGCGCTAACACAGGAGAGGGTCGGGAATGAGAGGAGGTGAGGCATTACAAGGAAACACAAAGGGGAGTGTGGATGTTGGAAGCAGGAAGGGCAAGAGAAACTGCTCCCCACGCACGGTGTGCAGCACAGGCCTCTGCGGTGCTGCCGAGCGGAGCAAGGGAAAGGAGTGGAGGACAATCGGGGGAGGGCACATCTGCAGAGCTGAGGCGAGGGCACATCTGCAGAGCTGAGGCGAGGGCACATCTGCAGAGCTGAGGCGAGGGCGTCAGGAGCACGGGGTGGGGAGCGTGGCAGCAGAGGTGGAGCAAGCAGGGGGGCGCTCCAGCGTGGACGGCAGTCACACCGTCCTGAGAGGTCACAGCCTGGCGACTACACACCTGCTTCGATGACTGCACCTGAATTATCAACTGAAGGTTAGTGTGATATAAAAAGGCATTTGAAGGGGCACCTGGTAGTTCTCGAGCTTGGCGTGTTTGAGCAGCGCCTCCACATACTCCACGTCCGACATGCTGCAAGAAAAGGGGGACAGACGGAGGTGGGGGGAAAGGAGGATGCGGGGAGCTGAGTGGAGAAGAGAAGAGAGGAAGGTTGGAAGCGGGAGAAAGAACGCAGGGAGTCAAGAAGTCGACTCCAGGTGTAGATCTTTTTGAGCAGCAAGAGGATGGGCAGAGAAGTTTTCATCTTGGTGGACGTGCTGGAGAGATCTCCGCGCCAGAGGAGTGGAGGGGGGAGGAGAGGAGTCGGGAGCACTCACTCCTGCTCGAGCAGCGAGGGCAGCAGCAGAGCGAAGCGGTCAACGAAGTCCTCAAAGGTGCGGCGTGTGGGGTAGCCCGCGGAGCACATGCGGATGGCCTCCAGCACTCCCTGCGCTAGGGAGGAGCAAGCAAGGGCACAGAAGGCGACAGGAAGAGAGGGAGCTGGTCATGGCGCGCTCAGTTCAGTTCAGTTCACGGAGACCAGGGGGGCTACTACGTACAAACGGGGCAGTGGAAATGTGTGGCACGACCAGCTAAGCCTGCCGTCTCACTCACCCCCGACCGCAGCTGGTCCGTGACCATGGCGCGCTCAAACATGCCCGGCCGGCTCTTGGCGTTCGGCTTGATGCACCGGATGTAGTGCGGTTCTGTGCGGTTGAGTGTCTCCATCAGCTGCGCCAGTTGTTGCTGGAAATGAGATGGGGTGAGAGAAAAGGCAGGGGGGTGAGAAGGAGGGACAGAGGAGAGAAAACGGTGTAGGAGTAAATGCACTGTGATACTGAGCAAGTTATAGATTGAAAGAGAAGTCAGATAGCTTGCCATATGAGCAGCTTCTGTCAATTCCCACCCAGTGCTGCCCGAGCCACCCGGAGCGCTTGCCTGGAGGCATGTGAGTCCCGACCCCCCAGCTTGGAGGCATGTGAGTCCCGACTAGGGATGAGCAATATGACGAACTCCTGTTCGGTTCGCCTCGAACACGTTCGAGGCGAACCGAACAGGATATTTTTTTGGCCTAAATTGTTCGGGGCGAACGTGTTCGGTGTTCGCCCGAACACGTTCGCCGTTCGCCCGGCTCAGCTCGCCGAGGCGCGTCAAACACGAACGTGTTCGTGTTCGACACGGGCCTTCGACAAACACCAATGTGTTCGTCGACAAATAGGCCCGCGACCAATTTTTAGGTCGCGGGCCTTGGTGTTTGGGCTCAGATCTGGCCTTTCGCAGTTAGTCAAGTGCAGATCTAGCATTTTGCCATTGCTTAAGTGCAGATCGAGCATTTCGCCGTTGCTTAAGTGCGGATCGAGCATTTCGCCGTTGTTTAAGTGCGGATCGAGCATTTCGCCGTTGCTTAATTGCGGATCGAGCATTTCACCGTTGCTTAAGTGCGGATCTAGCATTTCGCCGTTGCTTAAGTGCGGATCGAGCATTTCGCCGTTGCTTAAGTGCAGATCTAGCATTTCGCCGTTGCTTAAGTGCGGATCTAGCATTTCGCCGTTGCACGCTGGCACTAGATGGATGAAGCAGGGCGGGACTGGCTTGGGAGGTGGGGGGAGAGAATGTGCGACGATTTGAATTTTACTCTATATTGAATTTCCCCCTGGGCGAACACGAACATGTTCGCCACGAACATGTTCGTGTTCGCCTGTTGCAGCAATTCGTTCGCCTCCTAGGGCGAACGGCGAACACCTATTTTCACTCAAGTTGTTCGCCGAACCGAACACTGTTCGGTTCGGCAGAAGGCCATGTTCGTCAGGGGGCGAACACGAACATGTTCGAGTTCGCCCCCTGCTCATGCCTGGTCCCGACCCCCCAGCTTGGAAGCACGCAGGGCACACAGGTGTGGGGTTGGATGGCGAGTGGGATGGTTGAGTGGGTGCATGGCTGGTGCACACCTTGAAGGAGCGAGCCAGCGACGCGAACTTGCTCGTGGCCTTGCCCGCCTTGTCATCGGGCGGCGCGGGTGGGAAGAGGGCGGTGACGAATGGGTCGGCAGACTTCTGCAGCAGCACCTCGTGCTCTGATACCACTGCGTCCATGTTCTTGCTTATGAACTCCAACGTGCTGTACTTCACCTGGTGTGCTCCAAGGGGGGGAGGGAAAGGAAAGGGAAGTTGCAAGTTGAGCAACAGGGGGGATGACCTGTGCTTGACTTCATCTGGTGCGTTCTAGTGCCAGAGCACTTGCACTTGAAAACTCTTTTCAGCCACTCACCAGTCATCTTGAGTTGAGTTGATGCAAGGGTTATCTCGTGAGTTGAGTTGATGCAAGGGTTATCTCGTGAGTTGAGTTCACCATGGTAAGCCAGGCAGCACAGAGCCCTGACTAATCTGCCTGGCATGGTGCTGAAGAGTGCAATAAGAGACATAGCCCTTGGACTTGGCAAACTAATAGGGGGTGGCACGTGTCACGAACGATCCTTTTATCTTGTCGCCCACCCAGCACAACACAGAGCCCCGCCCGGGCCACCACTCTCACCACACCTGCTCCGCGCAGTGCCCGAGAGTGAAGTCAATGACAGGGACCTTGGACTTGGAGAAGACTATTGAGTTAGCTTCAAGGTCCTAGAAGAGAGCCATTGGAGTTGGAGAAGAAGTCGGCCATGTGTGCGCCTCACACACAGTCCTTTCATTTCATTCCACCCCACCTACCCAACACAGCACACAGCCCCACCCCACCCACCTGACCGGCGTAGTGCTCCATGGTGAAGTCAGTGACGGAGCCCTTGGACTTGGAGAAGCCCTTTGACTTGAGTCAACGGCCATGTTGACTTGAGTTGACTCTCAACTGACCTGCCCGGCGTAGTGCTCGAGGGTGAAGTCGGTGACGGAGCCCTTGGACTTGGAGAAGCGGTCGTGGCGCAGGAAGGCGTCGTACAGCGACAGCGTGAAGCCCTCCGCTGTTGACTGCGCCAGGCGGCTGGACGTGGAGAAGAGAGGAGGGGGGGGGGAGGGGAGAGGGCGTAATGGGGAAGGAAAAGAGACGGGAAGCACATGGGAAGGCGTCGTACAGCGACAGCGTGAAGCCCTCCGCTGTGCACTGAGGCACAAGGCTGGTGCGGGGGGTGAGGGGAGCGGGGCGTGGGGAGGGGATGGAGGTGGGGAGGCGGAGGGGGTGGGGGAAAGAGGGGGGGGGGGAGGGAAGCATGGAAGAGAGGTGGTGGTGGCGGAGGAAGGCGTCGTACAGCGACAGGGTGAAGCCCTCCGCCCTGGGCTGCGATGGTGGGGCGAAGAGAGCACGAGGTGTGAGGGGGAGATGGGGGGAGATGAGATGAGATGAGATGAGATGAGATGAGATGAGATGAGATGAGATGAGATGAGATGAGATGAGATGAGATGAGATGAGATGAGATGAGATGAGATGAGATGAGATGAGATGAGATGAGATGAGATGAGATGAGATGAGATGAGATGAGATGAGATGAGATGAGATGAGATGAGATGAGATGAGATGAGATGAGATGAGATGAGATGAGATGAGATGAGATGAGATGAGATGAGATGAGATGAGATGAGATGAGATGAGATGAGATGAGATGAGATGAGATGAGATGAGATGAGATGAGATGAGATGAGATGAGATGAGATGAGATGAGATGAGATGAGATGAGATGAGATGAGATGAGATGAGATGAGATGAGATGAGATGAGATGAGATGAGATGAGATGAGATGAGATGAGATGAGATGAGATGAGATGAGATGAGATGAGATGAGATGAGATGAGATGAGATGAGATGAGATGAGATGAGATGAGATGAGATGAGATGAGATGAGATGAGATGAGATGAGATGAGATGAGATGAGATGAGATGAGATGAGATGAGATGAGATGAGATGAGATGAGATGAGATGAGATGAGATGAGATGAGATGAGATGAGATGAGATGAGATGAGATGAGATGAGATGAGATGAGATGAGATGAGATGAGATGAGATGAGATGAGATGAGATGAGATGAGATGAGATGAGATGAGATGAGATGAGATGAGATGAGATGAGATGAGATGAGATGAGATGAGATGAGATGAGATGAGATGAGATGAGATGAGATGAGATGAGATGAGATGAGATGAGATGAGATGAGATGAGATGAGATGAGATGAGATGAGATGAGATGAGATGAGATGAGATGAGATGAGATGAGATGAGATGAGATGAGATGAGATGAGATGAGATGAGGTGAGATGAGATGAGATGAGATGAGATGAGATGAGATGAGATGAGATGAGGGGGTTCGGAATCCAGATGCATGGGGACGAGAGGGGGACGTAGGTGTGGGTTGACAGAAGCGCAGGTGGAGAGGGAGGGGAGAAGGAAGGAGAGGGAGGGGAGAAGGAAGGAGAGGGGGTGGAGAAGGAAGGAGAGGGAGGGTGATGACCTTCGATGTGGTCTCAGAAGAAGAGAGTATGCATAGGGGGGTTAGGGTGGGGGTTAGGGTGGGTGGGTGGTGGGGGGCTAGTGGGGAGTATGTAAAGAGGCAGATAGGGGAGGGAGGTGAAGCGAGAGTAAGGGGGAATATCCCACGAGTGAGTTGAGGCCCTGCAGGAGTGAGTTGAGGCCCTGTGCTGTGAGTTGAGGCCCTGTGCTGCTGACGAGTGCAGAGGATGGAACCGACGAGACGAGCGAATGGGGAGCGAATGGGGAGCGAATGGGGACTATTGAATTAAGATGCATCTGGGGGAATGCAGGTGGGGGAATGCAGGTGGGGGAATGAAGGCGCGGGGCGAGGGGGCGGGGGGGGGGGGGGATGTGGTGAGGGAGCGAGTGGAGGTGTGATGCGATGCACGCACCAGGCTGAGTCAAGGATGCTGAGAATGCCCTTGTCCTGCCGCGTGGGACATGGGGGGAACCAGGGCAAAGGGGGCGGAAGGGGGAGGTGGGGGGAGAGGGGAGGGAGGAGGGGAAGAGGGGGGGGGAAGAGGGAATGGGGAATGATGGTTGGGTGGACGGGTTTGAAATCAGAGAGGAACAAGAGGCAATCGAAACACACTTATCGGAATGGGCGCTTGCAGTATCTCTGATATGATCGGATCTGGTCTGATCCTCTGCAGCTCCATGTGACTCTCTCAAAAAGTGCCAAATGTCAGCGCCTCTACCCTCTCTCCCTCTCAGTTCATCCTCCTCCCCTGCAACACATCCCACCCGTCCATCCATATCCCTCGATGATCCTTGCATGCCCCCCATGGCATGCCCCCAGTCCCAGCCACGGCGCTCACCCCTTCAACGAGGTCCAGCACGTCCTGGTTGTCACGGAAGTTGATGTAGCTCCAGTTGATCTGCTCCTTCTCATACTCCTCCTGCTCCAGCTTCAACACGTGCTGGTCGTGTGCGGGAGGGGTAGGGTTTGTGTGGGGGGGGGGAGGGTAAAGAGCACATGAGCAACAGCATCGGCTCCAGTTGATCTGCACCTTCTGGTATTCATCCTGCTCCAGCTTCAACACGTGCTATTGGTTGAGAGGAGGGCGCCTCAAGAGAAGACTGGTACATGGGGCTGTTGAGGCGCCTCAAGAGAAGACTGGTACATGGGGCTGTTGAGGCGCCTCAAGAGAAGACTGGTACATGGGGCTGTTGAGGCGCCTCAAGAGAAGACTGGTACATGGGGCTGTTGAGGCGCCTCAAGAGAAGACTGGTACATGGGGCTGTTGAGGCGCCTCAAGAGAAGACTGGTACATGGGGCTGTTGAGGCGCCTCAAGAGAAGACTGGTACATGGGGCTGTTGAGGCGCCTCAAGAGAAGACTGGTACATGGGGCTGTTGAGGCGCCTCAAGAGAAGACTGGTACATGGGGCTGTTGAGGCGCCTCAAGAGAAGACTGGTACATGGGGCTGTTGAGGCGCCTCAAGAGAAGACTGGTACATGGGGCTGTTGAGGCGCCTCAAGAGAAGACTGGTACATGGGGCTGTTGAGGCGCCTCAAGAGAAGACTGGTACATGGGGCTGTTGAGGCGCCTCAAGAGAAGACTGGTACATGGGGCTGTTGAGGCGCCTCAAGAGAAGACTGGTACATGGGGCTGTTGAGGCGCCTCAAGAGAAGACTGGTACATGGGGCTGTTGAGGCGCCTCAAGAGAAGACTGGTACATGGGGCTGTTGAGGCGCCTCAAGAGAAGACTGGTACATGGGGCTGTTGAGGCGCCTCAAGAGAAGACTGGTACATGGGGCTGTTGAGGCGCCTCAAGAGAAGACTGGTACATGGGGCTGTTGAGGCGCCTCAAGAGAAGACTGGTACATGGGGCTGTTGAGGCGCCTCAAGAGAAGACTGGTACATGGGGCTGTTGAGGCGCCTCAAGAGAAGACTGGTACATGGGGCTGTTGAGGCGCCTCAAGAGAAGACTGGTACATGGGGCTGTTGAGGCGCCTCAAGAGAAGACTGGTACATGGGGCTGTTGAGGCGCCTCAAGAGAAGACTGGTACATGGGGCTGTTGAGGCGCCTCAAGAGAAGACTGGTACATGGGGCTGTTGAGGCGCCTCAAGAGAAGACTGGTACATGGGGCTGTTGAGGCGCCTCAAGAGAAGACTGGTACATGGGGCTGTTGAGGCGCCTCAAGAGAAGACTGGTACATGGGGCTGTTGAGGCGCCTCAAGAGAAGACTGGTACATGGGGCTGTTGAGGCGCCTCAAGAGAAGACTGGTACATGGGGCTGTTGAGGCGCCTCAAGAGAAGACTGGTACATGGGGCTGTTGAGGCGCCTCAAGAGAAGACTGGTACATGGGGCTGTTGAGGCGCCTCAAGAGAAGACTGGTACATGGGGCTGTTGAGGCGCCTCAAGAGAAGACTGGTACATGGGGCTGTTGAGGCGCCTCAAGAGAAGACTGGTACATGGGGCTGTTGAGGCGCCTCAAGAGAAGACTGGTACATGGGGCTGTTGAGGCGCCTCAAGAGAAGACTGGTACATGGGGCTGTTGAGGCGCCTCAAGAGAAGACTGGTACATGGGGCTGTTGAGGCGCCTCAAGAGAAGACTGGTACATGGGGCTGTTGAGGCGCCTCAAGAGAAGACTGGTACATGGGGCTGTTGAGGCGCCTCAAGAGAAGACTGGTACATGGGGCTGTTGAGGCGCCTCAAGAGAAGACTGGTACATGGGGCTGTTGAGGCGCCTCAAGAGAAGACTGGTACATGGGGCTGTTGAGGCGCCTCAAGAGAAGACTGGTACATGGGGCTGTTGAGGCGCCTCAAGAGAAGACTGGTACATGGGGCTGTTGAGGCGCCTCAAGAGAAGACTGGTACATGGGGCTGTTGAGGCGCCTCAAGAGAAGACTGGTACATGGGGCTGTTGAGGCGCCTCAAGAGAAGACTGGTACATGGGGCTGTTGAGGCGCCTCAAGAGAAGACTGGTACATGGGGCTGTTGAGGCGCCTCAAGAGAAGACTGGTACATGGGGCTGTTGAGGCGCCTCAAGAGAAGACTGGTACATGGGGCTGTTGAGGCGCCTCAAGAGAAGACTGGTACATGGGGCTGTTGAGGCGCCTCAAGAGAAGACTGGTACATGGGGCTGTTGAGGCGCCTCAAGAGAAGACTGGTACATGGGGCTGTTGAGGCGCCTCAAGAGAAGACTGGTACATGGGGCTGTTGAGGCGCCTCAAGAGAAGACTGGTACATGGGGCTGTTGAGGCGCCTCAAGAGAAGACTGGTACATGGGGCTGTTGAGGCGCCTCAAGAGAAGACTGGTACATGGGGCTGTTGAGGCGCCTCAAGAGAAGACTGGTACATGGGGCTGTTGAGGCGCCTCAAGAGAAGACTGGTACATGGGGCTGTTGAGGCGCCTCAAGAGAAGACTGGTACATGGGGCTGTTGAGGCGCCTCAAGAGAAGACTGGTACATGGGGCTGTTGAGGCGCCTCAAGAGAAGACTGGTACATGGGGCTGTTGAGGCGCCTCAAGAGAAGACTGGTACATGGGGCTGTTGAGGCGCCTCAAGAGAAGACTGGTACATGGGGCTGTTGAGGCGCCTCAAGAGAAGACTGGTACATGGGGCTGTTGAGGCGCCTCAAGAGAAGACTGGTACATGGGGCTGTTGAGGCGCCTCAAGAGAAGACTGGTACATGGGGCTGTTGAGGCGCCTCAAGAGAAGACTGGTACATGGGGCTGTTGAGGCGCCTCAAGAGAAGACTGGTACATGGGGCTTTTGAGGCGCCTCAAGAGAAGACTGGTACATGGGGCTGTTGAGGCGCCTCAAGAGAAGACTGGTACATGGGGCTGTTGAGGCGCCTCAAGAGAAGACTGGTACATGGGGCTGTTGAGGCGCCTCAAGAGAAGACTGGTACATGGGGCTGTTGAGGCGCCTCAAGAGAAGACTGGTACATGGGGCTGTTGAGGCGCCTCAAGAGAAGACTGGTACATGGGGCTGTTGAGGCGCCTCAAGAGAAGACTGGTACATGGGGCTGTTGAGGCGCCTCAAGAGAAGACTGGTACATGGGGCTGTTGAGGCGCCTCAAGAGAAGACTGGTACATGGGGCTGTTGAGGCGCCTCAAGAGAAGACTGGTACATGGGGCTGTTGAGGCGCCTCAAGAGAAGACTGGTACATGGGGCTGTTGAGGCGCCTCAAGAGAAGACTGGTACATGGGGCTGTTGAGGCGCCTCAAGAGAAGACTGGTACATGGGGCTGTTGAGGCGCCTCAAGAGAAGACTGGTACATGGGGCTGTTGAGGCGCCTCAAGAGAAGACTGGTACATGGGGCTGTTGAGGCGCCTCAAGAGAAGACTGGTACATGGGGCTGTTGAGGCGCCTCAAGAGAAGACTGGTACATGGGGCTGTTGAGGCGCCTCAAGAGAAGACTGGTACATGGGGCTGTTGAGGCGCCTCAAGAGAAGACTGGTACATGGGGCTTTTGAGGCGCCTCAAGAGAAGACTGGTACATGGGGCTGTTGAGGCGCCTCAAAAGAAGACTGGTACATGGGGCTGTTGAGGCGCCTCAAGAGAAGACTGGTACACGAGCAAGAGCATGTCAGCGTTTAATCAAACCGATTACAGAACATGGAACTTCAAAAATTTCGAATACAGAAACAATATGTATGGTTCGGGCCACATGAATGGAATATAATATGCTTTCTGGCGAAGCACTTTGCATTGTTACTTGTGAAACGAGCTTCACAGTGCTTAGTACAGCTGCCTACAAAAACACATGAAACTTTCCAAGTAACCTGCCACAAAACGCGCCTCACTTTGTTGAAACGCCTCACCTGGTTGAAACGCCTCACCTGGTTGAAACGCCTCACCTGGTTGAAACGCCTCACCTGGTTGAAACCTAAGTTGGAGTATACGCTCAGAGCCTCAAGCGTATCACGTTTATACGCTTGCGTTTTAACGCTATACGCAAAACGCTAGGGAATACGCAATACGCAGTCAGAAAAGTTTTAGGGCTGCCCGAAAAAAAAATCGCGGAATAGGTGTGGAATTTCTTCGTGAGCATTTCGCGAAAGTCGAAATGCTAATCGGTGGTCTAGGCAAGCGGAAATGTGACTTCGAAGTTGGGAGGCATGTCTGGGAATCGAAATGTTGAATCTCATATTAGTACCGCACTGGAACCCATAACATCTACGAACTCCAACCTGTCCAGAACCACCCCCCCAACAAACCCCACACTGCTTACCAGCCCAGTCAGCCCTAATCTCGACATTTCTACATTTCGTTTCATCTCGATCTCGCCGACTTCATACTTCTCAACGAGTATGACTAGACTGCGGGCACCAACTTCGTGCTTTGCACCTCGCCCATCCCCCGCTAAAGACCTAACAACTGCCCGGGAAAATTTTTTAGGTGCCCGGGCCTGCGTATTCACTGCGTACAGGAAGCCTCCCAAGAAGCGTTCAGCGTTTATACGCTAGCGGATAAACGCTAGCGTATGAAACGCGAAACGCGTATATTCCAACTAAGGTTGAAACGCCTCACCTGGTTGAAACGCCTCACCTGGTTGAAACGCCTCACCTGGTTAAAACACCTCACCTGGTTGAAACGCCTCACCTGGTTGAAACGCCTCACCTGGTTGAAACGCCTCACCTGGTTGAAACGCCTCACCCGGTTGAAACGCCTCACCCGGTTGAAACGCCTCACCCGGTTGAAACGCCTCACCCGGTTGAAACGCCTCACCCGGTTGAAACGCCTCACCCGGTTGAAACGCCTCACCTGGTTGAAACGCCTCACCTGGTTGAAACGCCTCACCTGGTTGAAACGACTCATCTGGTTGAAACGACTCACCTGGTTGAAACGCCTCACCTGGTTGAAACGCCTCACCTGGTTGAAACACCTCACGTGGTTGAAACGCCTCACGTGGTTGAAACGCCTCACCTGGTTGAAACGCCTCACCTGGTTGAAACGCCTCACCTGGTTGAAACACCTCACCTGGTTGAAACGCCTCACCTGGTTGAAACGCCTCACCTGGTTGAAACGCCTCACCTGGTTGAAACGCCTCACCCGGTTGAAACGCCTCACCTGGTTGAAACGCCTCACCTGGTTGAAACACCTCACCTGGTTGAAATGCTGCTGCAGTTTCTCGTTGGCAAGATTGATGCAGAACTGCTCAAAGCTGTTCACGGCCATTGGGGGAGGTGAGCGGGAGGGGGAGGGAGGGGGGAAACGGAGGGAGCATGGACAATGATGCAGGGAAGTACTGGCACGACAATGATGCAGGGAAGTACTGGCACGACAATGATGCAGGGAAGTACTGGCACGACAATGATGCAGGGAAGTATTGGCACGACAATGATGCAGGGAAGTACTGGCACGACAATGATGCAGGGAAGTACTGGCGCGACAATGATGCAGGGAAGTACTGGCACGACAATGATGCAGGGAAGTACTGGCACGACAAGGGAACGAAGGGGTGAACGGGGGCATTTGGGGGGGATTGGTGGGTTTGAAGTAACGGGAAAGGCAGAGGCATTGAGTGGAAACTCGCATGGTTGTGGATGCGGGAAGGCGCAACAAAGAGGGTTCAGGAGGTTAGAAGCTGCCGTTATCCTTGAAAGATGTATGCACCTCTGGCCTCGCACCTGTTGATCTTGAAGTGCTCGAAGCCGTAGATATCAAGCACGCCAATGATGGCCATGGCCCTGGGGTCCTGCCCGATGGACCGATTCACCTTCTGCACAATCCTGGGGGGTAGGAAGGGGGAATGAAAAAGGGAGGAAGGGGGACGAGGGGAGTGTGGGGTGGGTGGTGGGGGTGGGTGAGTGAGGTGTGGTTGAGGGCGAGGCGGGGTGGCTGGGGGTGTGAGCTGGTCACGCTTTTCCTTCCTGTGTTCTGAGGGCATGCATGGAAGTCAGCCTCACTTGGTAAATAGAGGTTCACATGAAAACATGGATGATGGTTTGGGACCCCAAACCCAAACTTTGGGTTGTGGCCATCCATGGCTGATTTATTGACTTCCCTTCCCCCCAGTACGGCGGAGTGGAGCCATGATGATAAATAATCAGGGTTCAGTGGTGACCATGATTTTTAGAACCGCAATGATCGTGGACCAATCATTGAGGTTCAATTCACTTGACAGGGGTTAAAGCTGGAGCCCAACCCCTCAATTGGGGCCAATTCTGGTTTTACACCCAGCGGTCTCACTCACCAGTCAAAGAGCTTGGAGTAGAGGGTCTTGGCAAGCGTGTCACGCCTGACAGTGGCAGCCTTGACATCAAGTGCACTCTTGATGGTCTCCCCCCCCACCTTGCGCTTCACTGTGCATAGCGAGTCCTGCAGCTTCTTGCGGTCGCACCTGCAGAGCACATGACACAACGGGGTCAGGATAGTGAGAGTGAGGGGAGGTTCAGGGGGCCCGGAGGGGAGTGGAGTAAGGAGATATGGGAGCCACCTTGCGGGGCACCGTGCATAGCGAGTCCTGCAGCAATATGAAGGTGAGAAGGCGGAGAGGCAGCTAGGGCGAGAGAGAGAGAGAGAGAGAGAGAGAGAGAGAGAGAGAGAGAGAGAGAGAGAGAGAGAGAGAGAGAGAGAGAGAGAGAGAGAGAGAGAGGTGGTGCATTCGAGAGGAATGCAGGTGCGGGGGAGAGGCGTACGAGAGGAGGGAGGCGACGGTGTCGAGGGTGGTGTCTGCATGCTTGGCGATGCGCAACTTGTCGCCCTTCTCCCTGAACTCCACATTGCCCAGATGCAGCACCGCTGCTACCACGCGCAGGATGGACAGCTGGCGGACAAACAGGGGGGAGATCAAGGGAAGAGACAGCAAGGGAGGGAAATTGCTGCCTTTCTCCCTGAAGATACAGCACCGCAGCTAGCAGGCGCGGGATGGACCGCTGCAGGGCGGGGGGAGTGGGTGGCCGGGAGGGGGGGGGGGGGGAGAGAGAGGTGTGAGCAGGGACCGGGGGTCTAGGGGAGGGAGCGAGGACAAGGTAAAGAGACAGGAAAACGACAGGAAGGGAAGGAGCTCGTCACCCTTCTCCCTGCACCCCATCCATGTTGCCCAGATGCACCCCATCCATGTTGCCCAGATGCACCCCATCCATGTTGCCCAGATGCAGCTCTGTGTAGTGTGCGGGGCTTAGAGTCGGGGTTCAGGGTTCCGCTTTTATGTAGGGTTTAGCAGCTGAGGAAGTTGCAGATAAAAAAAGGCCAGAATGGGAGCGAATTCTCGCCCGGCTTCGTGTAGCCAATGTTAGCTCTGGGGCAGAAAGTGTGGGAGCAAGACGGAGGGGCAAGGTTCAAAATTACGGTTTTCGTAAAATACGGTCCGTTTTATACGGTCGTTTTTTACGGTGATTTAGAAAAAAAAAAAAAAAAACGGCCATCTTTTTGTTAGAGAACACTGTTCAACAAGAAAAAAAAAAGAGAAAAACAAGGCCAAAAAACATTTTCAATCATGCAAACAAGCGCATACATGCAAGAAAGGGTCCGTCCCCTTCATGCTGCTGCATTTCGGGTTCAATTTGGTCCCAATAAGTGGCCGTTTTGTTAGTTAAACAGGAAACACCTCCTGGAACCGTTTTAAACCGTTTTTTATGACCGTATTTTACGATACCGTTTTTTACGGTAAAATTTCAAAAAAAACGGTCGTTTTTTTTAACCTTGCGGAGGGGAGAGCCGATGCTTGGCATGGCAGGATGCGGGCATGGACAGGTGGTGGGGAGGCATGCGTGCATGGACAGGTGGTGGGGAGGCATGCGGGCATGGACAGGTGGTGGGGAGGCATGCGTGCATGGACAGGTGGTGGGGAGGCATGCGTGCATGGACAGGTGGTGGGGAGGCATGCGTGCATGGACAGGTGGTGGGGAGGCATGCGGGCATGGACAGGTGGTGGGGAGGCATGCGTGCATGGACAGGTGGTGGGGAGGCATGCGTGCATGGACAGGTGGTGGGGAGGCATGCGTGCATGGACAGGTGGTGGGGAGGCATGCGGGCATGGACAGGTGGTGGGGAGGCATGCGTGCATGGACAGGTGGTGGGGAGGCATGCGGGCATGGACAGGTGGTGGGGAGGCATGCGTGCATGGACAGGTGGTGGGGAGGCATGCGTGCATGGACAGGTGGTGGGGAGGCATGCGTGCATGGACAGGTGGTGGGGAGGCATGCGTGCATGGACAGGTGGTGGGGAGGCATGCGTGCATGGACAGGTGGTGGGGAGGCATGCGTGCATGGACAGGTGGTGGGGAGGCATGCGTGCATGGACAGGTGGTGGGGAGGCATGCGTGCATGGACAGGTGGTGGGGAGGCATGCGTGCATGGACAGGTGGTGGGGAGGCATGCGTGCATGGACAGGTGGTGGGGAGGCATGCGTGCATGGACAGGTGGTGGGGAGGCATGCGTGCATGGACAGGTGGTGGGGAGGCATGCGTGCATGGACAGGTGGTGGGGAGGCATGCGTGCGAGGAGTCGTGTGGAGCAGGCAGGGACGAACAAGGGGGTCGAGGCGAGAAGAGAGAGAGGTGGAAGGCACGTGCTGGAGAGAGAGGTGGAAGGCACGTGGTGAAGAGAGGATTGCAGCGGAGCCATGCCGTGTGGCACACTGGGGGCTGCGAGATGCACTTTGGCACAATAGCTCATGATGACACAACACACCAACACGTGCGCGCACCTGCTCCTCCTCCGAGATGCCAATGACGCGCATGGCGCTGCGGGTCTTGCTATACTCCTCGGCGTTGCTGGACTTGCCCTGCAGCTCGAAGCAGCGGCTCTGGTTGAGGTAGTGGAAGTGCTGTGCCCTGTTGGGGCCGGGCGGCAGCTTCAACAGCTCCGCCTCCTGCCAGTGCCAGCGCAGTGCACATAATGGAGGGATGGGGCAGAGAGAGACATGAGAGATATGGCATGTAGGGAAGGTTAGAGAGTCAGGGACAGCAGGGCTCGAGGCAGCGGCTCCGGTTGAGGTGGTGGAAGTGGTGCGCCCTGTTGGGGCCTGCTTCAGCAGCTCTGCTTCCTGCCAACACATCCCATAGAGAGAAACGATATGGCCAGTTGGGAGGGTGAGGGAGCGAGGGATAGCAGTCCTCAAAGCAACGGCTCCGGTAGCGTGAAGTGGTGCATGCTGTTGGGGGTGGGGAACAGCGAGGAGGATGACAGGGAGGGGCGCGGCAGGGAGGGGTGGGTTGGAGGTTGAAAAGGTGAGAGAGCAAGCTACACCATAGGTGGCCGCAGCGAGGAGAGCAGTGAGCTAAGCAGCAGAGGCAGCGTGCGACTGACCTCGGGGGAGGCCCCGTCGCAGAGCACTGACCTCGGGGGAGGCCCCGTCGCAGAGCACTGACCTCGGGGGAGGCCCTGTCGCAGAGCACTGACCTCGGGGGAGGCCCCGTCGCAGAGCACTGACCTTGGGGGAGGCCCCGTCGCAGAGCACTGACCTCGGGGGAGGCCTCGTCGCAGAGCACTGACCTCGCGGGAGGCCCCGTCGCAGAGCACTGACCTCGGGGGAGGCCCCGTCGCAAAGCACTGACCTCGCGGGAGGCCCCGTCGCAGAGCACTGACCTCGGGGGAGGCCCCGTCGCAGAGCACTGACCTCGGAGGAGGCCCCGTCGCAGAGCACTGACCTCGGGGGAGGCCCCGTCGCAGAGCTGGTAGAAGCAGTGGTAGTTCCTCTCGGGGTCCGCGATATGCACCACCCGTGATCGCTCCAGCAGGTACGACCGGATGGCTGCTCCTGACACACGCCCGCGCTGGTCAAAGTGGATCTCGATGAACTTGCCAAAGCGACTGGCGGCACGGTGAGGGGCAGGCAGAGGACGGCGGGTAAAGGAAGCAATGGAAGGGACAATGAGGGTGCCGTGAATGCTCGATGCCACGCAGCCTCGCTCGTCAAACTGGATCTCTATGACGTTGCCAAAGTGACTGGCGGCCAGCCAGCACACAGGTGGTGTGCGGGAGAGAGTGGAAGACACCAGCAGGGCGACGGGGACAGGGCAGGCAGGGGCGACGGGGACAGGGCAGGCAGGGGCGACGGGGACAGGGCAGGCAGGGGCGACGGGGACAGGGCAGGCAGGGGCGACGGGGACAGGGCAGGCAGGGGCGACGGGGACAGGGCAGGCAGGGGCGACGGGGACAGGGCAGGCAGGGGCGACGGGGACAGGGCAGGCAGGGGCGACGGGGACAGGGCAGGCAGGGGCGACGGGGACAGGGCAGGCAGGGGCGACGGGGACAGGGCAGGCAGGGGCAACGAATGGAAGGAAGGAGAAGGACGACGTGCATCTACTTGTGCTCAGGGCTCAACATACAGAGAAACCTCAACTGCCTGGATAGATCGCCACACACCTGCTACCTCGCACTCTTCCCCACTGCACTCATCCCCAGTTTTTCTTCCCCTTGGCACTTATTCCCCTTTACTCATCCCCCTGCACTCATCGCGCCTCTGTACATCTCCCTGCACCGCGTCCCACCTGGAGTTGTCATTGCGCACTGTCTTGGCATTCCCACCTGGAGTTGTCATTGCGCACTGTCTTGGCATTCCCACCTGGAGTTGTCATTGCGCACTGTCTTGGCATTCCCACCTGGAGTTGTCATTGCGCACTGTCTTGGCATTCCCACCTGGAGTTGTCATTGCGCACTGTCTTGGCATTCCCACCTGGAGTTGTCATTGCGCACTGTCTTGGCATTCCCACCTGGAGTTGTCATTGCGCACTGTCTTGGCATTCCCACCTGGAGTTGTCATTGCGCACTGTCTTGGCATTCCCACCTGGAGTTGTCATTGCGCACTGTCTTGGCATTCCCACCTGGAGTTGTCATTGCGCACTGTCTTGGCATTCCCACCTGGAGTTGTCATTGCGCACTGTCTTGGCATTCCCACCTGGAGTTGTCATTGCGCACTGTCTTGGCATTCCCACCTGGAGTTGTCATTGCGCACTGTCTTGGCATTCCCACCTGGAGTTGTCATTGCGCACTGTCTTGGCATTCCCACCTGGAGTTGTCATTGCGCACTGTCTTGGCATTCCCAAACGCCTCCAGCAGTGGATTGGACTGTTGCGGGGCAATAGCAGGACGATCAGAAGAGCAAGAGAGGGAGGGGAAGGGGGAAGGGAGCGGAAGAATAAAAGACAAGTGTTGGAAAGGGGTGGAACATTGGAGGAGGGAGTGGGAGCGGGTTTCAAGTTCTGCATCAAGAGGCGGAAGAAGAGAAGGGCAGGCGAGGAGGAGGATGGCATCATGGTGAAATAAGAGAAAGTGTTGCAACACTCCAAATTTGCCTCACACAACCTCGCCCCTCTTACCCCTCTGGCCTCGCTTGCCTCTCTTGCCCCTCGTGGCTTCACCTTCATGGTTCCAGCCAGCCACACTCGCTTGCTCATGAGTCACCATTGTCGTTGCCGCGCATCTACTCTGCCTCCCGCCCTTGCCTACTGTCACGTCACTCACTTTCCTCCTCCCGTCTGTCCCTGCCTCGCTCTCTGCGTGCCTCTGATTGCTCCGCTGATGGCCTCACCCTCTCGCACCTCCACCATTTGCTTCATTGCTTCTCACTGCCCCTCTCACCTCATTTCAGGTGTGTCGCAGTCCCTCCCCCATCTCACCTCCAGCACTTGGTTATCAGTGCTGCGCTTTCCCTCAATATCCGCATGGCCCCCCACAACCTCCATCACCAGCTTCACTGCCTTGCCTCCATCTTGACCGCTGCTCTGCATCCCAGCCCGTCCTCACCCCTTTCTCTCCCTTTACTCCCACTCCCCCCACCCACCCTCCCCCTCCCGTTTCCACAGCCCTACCCCTCCGTCCCCCTCTGAAGTCTCGCCCCAAGCTTCTTGTAAGCCCTTCCCACCCTTGCTCACCTCCAGCACTTGGTTTTCAATGCTGCGCTCGCCATCGCTGTCCGCGCGCCCCCCCACGGACGCCAGGTATTCCATCACCAGCTTCGTCGTCTCCGTCTTGCCCGCCCCGCTCTCCCCGCTGATCAAAATCGACTGGCTGCGCCGCTCCTCGCGCATCGCTCTGCGCTCCGCCGAGGGAATGCATGTGGGGCGGGCATGGGAGGGGGGGCGGAGATGGTGGGGCGGGCATGAGGGGGCGGGCACGAGGGGGCGGGCATGAGGGGAGGGGGCACGAGGGGAGGGGGCACGAGGGGAGGGGGCACGAGGGGAGGGGGCACGAGGGGAGGGGGCACGAGGGGAGGGGGCACGAGGGGGTGGGATGAGCTTGCCCATGTGCTCAGCACGCTAGAAGGCTTCACACATCGCTCTCATCTCACATTTCCCTTCAACTCAGCTCTCCCACGTACATGCCTGGCACCTGAGAATTCACCTGAGACCTCACATGTAGGCATCGTGAGCACCCCCCTCACCTATACGCGTTTCCAGGTTGCCAGCACCACCCTCTCATCCCCACCTGTACGCATTGTGGGCGATGGCACAGAGGTGGGGGCGAGCTGGTTTTTGAGAATTCTCAAAAACCAGAGGTGGGGGCGAGGTCGCCCAGTAACTGGCCTCGGTTGGCGTCACGCATGTCACTCTTCAGTTGACGTAAAACTTTGCACCATACCCCCACCCCCACCTGTAAGCGTTGTCAGCGATGGCAAACACGTGGGGGCTGAGCTCGCCCAGTGGCTGCCCCCGGTAGGCGTCGCGCATGTCCCGATCGTAGATGCCCGGCAGACGCATGAAGGGGTTCGCCGCTATCAGGATGCTGCCCGTGTACGTCTGGGAGGGGTAGAGAGGGACACACGCATGGAGGGAGCGGAGCACGTGCGTGTTATGCAGCGCACCGCACTATACTAGCGCACTGCACTGCTATGAAGAGGTGTGGCGCATGTGACGGTGGTAGGTGCGTGGCAGGCACATGAAGGGGCTGGCTGCTATCAGGATGCCGCCCCATGCATGTCTGGGGAAGTGGGAGGGGAGAGGAGGAGGGAGGGGGTGCCACGTCTGCAGGGCAGGAGATGAACGAGGTTCCGGGGGAAACGAGGTTCCGGGGGAAACGAGGTTCCGGGGGAAACGAGGTTCCGGGGGAAACGAGGTTCCGGGGGAAACGAGGTTCCGGGGGAAACGAGGTTCTGTGGGAAACGAGGTTCCGGGGGAAACGAGGTTCCGTGGGAAACGAGGTTCCGGGGGAAACGAGGTTCCGTGGGAAACGAGGTGGGGGGAGGGGGAGACAAGAGCTTGTGCAGGGCGCCACAGCACACATACATGTGTACATACAGGCATACCACAGCACACATACATGTGTACATACAGGCATACCACAGCACACATACATGTGTACATACAGGCATACCACAGCACACATACATGTGTACATACAGGCATACCACAGCACACATACATGTGTACATACAGGCATACCACAGCACACATACATGTGTACATACAGGCATACCACAGCACACATACATGTGTACATACAGGCATACCACAGCACACATACATGTGTACATACAGGCATACCACAGCACACATACATGTGTACATACAGGCATACCACAGCACACATACATGTGTACATACAGGCATACCACAGCACACATACATGTGTACATACAGGCATACCACAGCACACATACATGTATACATACAGGCATACCACAGCACATGTACGGGATGCCCCTTCCCCCCTCCCCTTACGCACATAGATGAGGTTGCGGTGGTAGCGCTGCATGAGGTTGTGCAGCACGCCCGGCTCGTGCAGGTACGCCAGCTTGACCATGTCGTCCACCACCGCGCTCTCCTCCTCGCGCGCGTAGCACTCGCCCTCGCCCACCACCACCTGCCGCGCATGGCACGCACAGCAGGGGTGAGGGCACGGGAGGGAGGGGATGGGAGAGCAGGGTTGGGGAGGGGAGGAGAGGAGAGGGGAAAGGAAAGGAGGGGAAGGGAAGGGAGGGACGAGAGTCGGGGAGGGGAAAGAGGAGGGGGGGAAGAGGATGGGATGTGAGGGAGGAGAGGGGGTGTACAGAGAGACTCACGGGTGACCTCCACCTCAGAGACGCTAAAGCTACTCTCCTCCAGCCCTTTCATGAATGGAGATGGTATACGGTGGGGCACGAATGACGTATGGGATGGGGATAAGGCATGGGGTAAACACTATATTGAACAGAGGTGTTATTTTATAGAGAGGAGGGGACGGAGTTGAAGGGTCTTCACCACTCCCCTCCTGCCCCTCCCAGCCTCACTGCCAGTCACCTGCCCCCCCCCCCCGCTGACTGAGTCACTCCCTTTCTGCAACTCACATGTTCCCCGCCCCCCTGCCAGCCACCTTCCCTGCTCCCCCGTTTCAAACCCGCTTGACCCTTGCCGCCTCTGTCCAGCCCCACTGTGAGTCAGCAACTCACTCCCACCCTTCCTTCCACACTGCTTCTGCTACCCTCCCCTCTCACTGAATCCCTCTATGTGATTCACATGCCCTGCCCTGGCCTGGCCTGGCCTGACCTGCCACCTCCCCTGCTCCCCCATCTCCTACCCCACTGTCACTTGCCGCATCCGCCCAGCCGCACGGTGATTCACCTACCTGTCCCCTTTCCAAGGTTCAAAATTACGACCGTATTATTGAATTTTCACCGTATAATACGGAATCGTATAATACAACCGTAAAATACGGTTTAATACGGTGGATTGAGGTTTTTTGTGTTTGGTTAAAAAATACGACCGTATAATTCGACCGAAAATTTGAAACCGGGTCTGTGTATATCAGGAATCATAGTGTCACACGCACGTTTCTCCCAACCGTGATTTTCTCTCACAACCGTACACACGAATTTGTTTTTTTCCTGCGTCGCGAATGTCACGACTCTTTTGCGTCGCGACATTTGGGCATTTGGCGAGGCCAATTTCGAGTTTACGTGTTTCGCCAACTCGTTGGCATGAGTCGCCAAAGCGGAACGTGTACAATTTCCCGAGGCGCGACATTTTAACATGTGGCGAATGGTACCCCTTCGACCCCACGTTTCGTGATTTCCGTTAAACATTTTCGTACTGCGGAGGTTTGGTTCGCTCGCAGTTGCGACACATCCAAAAGTCGCGATGCGAAACCAATCTAACCAATCAGAATACATCCCGTGAGCTCAACCTTTTCAAAAACCCACTCGACACAACACACCCAGCTTCCACAACGAGGTACTTAGGAGCTCGGTTTAGCCACTCCTAATCATATTCTGAGCCTAGCTCTGCTCTAGTCTAGTCTTCAGGGTGCTCCACTCGGGTTCGTGCCAGTCAGGACGTACGCCATGGCGAGGCAGAAATCGCCGCTGTGGAAGCACGTTACAACGACTAAGGGACCAGACGGCACCTTAACGGCGAAATGCGTACACTGCTCCGAATCCGTGACTGCTAATGCTACACGCATAGGAGAGCACATCTATGGGACGCCGAAGGACAAAGATAAGAATGTGACACCGTGCACCCATGAAGTCGCCATCAAACTTCGCGAGGAAGCAGCTGCTAATGAGCTTTCTGGAAGCACCACTCCGTCAATCCTTGGCTCCACTTCAACCCTAGCCATCCAGCCCTCTAGCCGCACTCGACAGCGGGACATCCGCGACATGGTGGATGACTCTGCACGCGCTCGACTGGACTACCTATGGGCCACTACAGTGGCTGATAACGATTGGGCGTTCCACACGTCCAAGTCGCCAGCCGTGCAGAACTTCGTGGATGCGGCTGTTGCCTTCGGGAAACAATACACCCTCCCATCCCCCTTCAGGGTTTCTGGTGTTTTGCTTCAAAAACTGGTAGCGGATACCGAGGACCTTGTAAGGCCCCTGAAGGAGAGTTGGAACACTAGCGGCTGCACCATCTCCGTGGACGGCTGGACCTGCATGAAGAGCCGTGGACTCGTGTGTGTCATAGCCCACAATGACACCGCGCCTGTCATCGTGAAGACCGTGGACTCCAAGACCGCGAAGAAGACGGGGGAGTACTTGGCCGGCCTCATCCAGACCTCAATCGCCGAGGTTGGAGACAAGAAGGTGGTGCAGGTGGTCATGGACAATGCGTCCAACATCCGTAGGGCGGCCGACATCCTCCGGGACGGTTTTCCTGCAGTGTTTTTCAACAACTGTGCGGCGCACGTCCTGGACCTGATGCTCCACGACATCGGGAGGGTCCGTGTTGTGCGGCGAGTGCTCAACCAGGTGCACAGGGTGGTTATGATCGTCAAGGGAAGCGCGTCTGCCGTCACGCTCTTCCACGAGTTGTTTAGCACTTTGTCCTTGGTGCGGCCCGGTGCAACACGCTTCGGCACGCAGGTTATCATGCTTGCCCGCTTCCTGGAGGTAAAGAAAGCGCTCAAGGAGATGATCATCAGTGAGGAGTGGGAGTCGGTGGCGGTGGCGCGGTCTGAGGAGGGGCGAGCTGTCCGCCAGCTCCTCTTGGATGAGGTCTTTTGGGAGTGCGCGACAGCGGTCCTCCGCCTCATGACACCCGTGTATGAAGTGCTGCGGGTGGTTGACACCCGTGCTCTAGTCATGGGCCGGATCTATGGCCTCATGCTAGATGCCACGGTGAAGACAAACAATGCGGCAGAGGCGGCAGGTAAGCTGTGAATTGCCGCACGTTCTGGCTATTGTATACCCTTCCCGCCAATTGTGCTCACCTCATGCTCTCCGGTTCTCCCCATGGGCAGCCAAAATGATGATGAAACGCACCGCTCTCTTGCCGGCCAAAGACAAGCCGGCCTTTCTGGCCGCCATCAAGGCTATCATAGCAAGGAGGTGGGACGCCCAGCTCCACAATCCACTCCATGCTATGGGGTGGCTTCTGAACCCGCGCAATCAGTACGGCAAAGAGGTGAAGAACGATCCCGAGGTAAGGCTTGGGGCGGAAGCGGTGATCCAGGCCCGTGGGGGAGACGTCGCACAACGCGCGCTACTGTTGGCGCAGTTTCATAAAGGAGAGGGGCTGATAGGGTCCGATGATGCCCGTTGGGCAGCAACGGTGTTGGTGGCGAGTGGGCGCTTGACGGAGGCAGAGTGGTGGCTGATGTATGGGGGGGAATTGCGAGCGCTCATGGGGATGGCTGTGACGGTGCTGTCACAGCCAGTCACGTCTTCTGAGGTCGAACGCTACTGGTCCGCCATTGCACGGGTGCAGAGGCGGGACCGTAACCGCCTCAGTGCCAACAAGATGATGGACGTGACTGAGGTGGCGTTCGCCAGGAGGGCCAGGGATGCTTTCGATAGGAAATCACGGCAGAGGGAGAAGCTTTATGCCGATCTGGCCAACGGCACCCTCCAGCAAGGGAGTGCCGTGGAACCGGCAGCAGCAGAGGAAGAGGAAGTGGGGGACGACGAGGAGGAGGGAGAGGGGAATGAGCAGCTATGCACCATTGATTGGGACCTATTCGGGAACATTGGGAAGCGGAAGAAGAAGGGGCCAAAGACCGCTAAAAAGAAGAGAAACGGGAAGGCCAAGAAGCCTACCAAGGGAAAGAGGAAGGCAACATCTGTGCGAGAGGAAGAGGGTGAGGAGGAGGAGGCGGCGGATAGCAGTGGAGGGGAGGAGGAGAACGTGCCTACCAAGGCTCGAAATGGCGCGGATCCTTGGGACATTAGTGACGGGTCTAGTGGGGAGGAAGAGGAGGAGGCGGATGAGGATGAGGAGGAGGAGGAGGAGGAGGAGGAGGAGGAGGAGGAGGAGGAGGAGGAGGAGGAGGAGGAGGAGGAGGAGGAGGAGGAGGAGGAGGAGGAGGAGGAGGAGGATGAGTAGAGAAGAGAGAAGGTTACAGGTTGGAGGAGGAGAGAGAGATAGGGAAGGATAGGATAGGGTAGGAGGTGTAAAGTAAAGAGTAGTGGACGGTACGGTAGTAGTGGGAATGGTCGAGTAGTGTTGTAACCATCTGTTCTGTTGTTATGCTAGGCTAATGTAGTGTGTACCTTTCAGAGCATTGCTACGGGAAAAAGGAAAAGAAAAGAAAAAAAAAAAAAAAAAAAAAAAAAAAAAAAAACCAGAAAAACAGTCTATCAAAAATACGGCGTATTTTTGAATTTCTTGCCGTAAAAAACGACCGTATTATACGGACCGTATAATACGATAGCCGTAATTTTGATCCTTGCCCCTTTCCCCCTTCCACACAGCTACTGTCCCAAAACCCCCCTCGTGGTGACTCATCTCCTACCTGCCTGGCCCTTGAAGCGTCCACCCAGCACCACAGTGAGCTGTGGCCCCCTCCGTTCCGTACAGCTACTGCTCCCCCTCCCCTCCCCCCCACATTCCCCTGTTCCCCGGCCCCTCCTATGCCTTGTGTCGTACTCGCCTGGCCCTTGCCGCCTGTGCCGAGCGCCACAGTGAGCTGGGAGCTCCCGCGGTCCCTCGCCACCACCTCGCCCTCCTCCCACGCATCCGCGGCATCCGGCACCCACACCTTCGACCCCACCGTGAACAGGTGCTGCTGTGAACCCTGGAGGACGGGGAGAGATAGGGCAGGGGAGGGGGGCAGGAAACGAATGGGCAACGGGCGGGGCACTGGGCAACAGGAGTTTAGGCATCGGCCACCCACACCTTGAAGCCCACCGTGGATAGGTGCTGCTGTGAACCCTGCACGCACCGGGGACAGGCAGAAGCGGGGAAGGTCAGGCAGAACCGGGGGAGGTCAGGCAGAACCGGATGGAAACAGACAAGGGGAGGGGGCGAACTGCATTGGCGCACTGCGCGGGGCGCCCACACCTTAAAACGAACCCCACACGTCTGGGAGGCCTGCAGGATGAAGGGGGAGGGGGGATGGGGGAGAAAACGGCGGGACGGCAGGACGAAAGGAAAGAGCAAGACAAAAGGAGGGGCCAAATTGGATGGGCGCACTGCATCGGGCAGGCACACCTTCGACTTGTACTTCCGCCCCACTGTGGACACGTTTTGCTGCGAGGCCTACACGAGGATGGGACAGACGGGGGAAGAAACAAAGGGACAAGGGATGGGGCGAATCTGGATTGGAAAGTTGGGGGAAGGAAGGCGGGAATCGCGATGGCGGCGGTGGTCCGCGCGGGGAGAAGGTGGGTCATGCGCGGGACAGCGAATTGGGCAGGGGAAGCATGGGGGCACGCATTCAAAAGCGGGTAGCGCAAGGGAGAAGGGGGTAGCGCAAGGGAGAAGGGGGTAGCGCAAGGGAGAAGGGAGTAGTAGGGCAAGGGAGAAGGGGGTAGGGCAAGGGAGAAGGGGGTAGCGCAAGGGAGAAGGGGGTAGCGCAAGGGAGAAGGGGGTAGCGCAAGGGAGAAGGGGGTAGCGCAAGGGAGAAGGGGGTAGCGCAAGGGAGAAGGGGGTAGGGCAAGGGAGAAGGGGGTAGCGCAAGGGAGAAGGGGGTAGCGCAAGGGAGAAGGGGGTAGGGCAAGGGAGAAGGGGGTAGGGCAAGGGAGAAGGGGGTAGGGCAAGGGAGAAGGGGGGTAGCGCAAGGGAGAAGGGGGTAGGGCAAGGGAGAAGGGGGTAGGGCAACGGAGAAGGGGGTAGGGCAAGGAAAACTGGGTGTAACGCAAGGGAAATCGGGGGTAGCGCAAGGGAAACGGGAGGTAGTGCAAAGGAAAATGGGGTTCGTGCAACTTGATAAGAAAAGGGGTAGTGCAAGGGAAAACGGGGGTAGCGCAAGGGAAAAAGGGGGTAGCGCAAGGGAAAACGGGGTTAGCGCAAGGGGAAAAGGGGGTAGCGCAAGGGAAAACGGGGGTAGCGCAAGGGAAAACGGGGGTAGCGCAAGGGAAAACGGGGGTAGCGCAAGGGAAAACGGGGGTAGCGCAAGGGAAAAGGGGGGTTGCGCAAGGGAAAAGAGGGGTAGAGAAAGGAGGATGGATGAGGAATCCGGACAGCGGGCAACGATACAGACAATACATGGCGCTGGATCGCACTTCCATCCGCTAGGCAGGGGGAAGAAGAGGGCGGAAAGCGAGAAACGTGCTCTCCGCCCTCCCCTCTCCGCTCGGAGTTGGGTCGGGGAAGGTGGCAGAGGGGGAAGTATCGATGTGACACGGCGCGCGACAATGAGAGACGTCCCACGCGCCACGCACGAGCTGCGTCACACGTTTCTTGGGTTTTCTTGCGCGCCAGGGTTGCGCGCGGCTGTTGTTGTTGGCGCGGCGAAGCAGCAACGGCAAAAGCAGGAAGAGGAGCACGTCGGCCATTTGGGAAACACGTTTGAGAATTCTCAAAAACGACTCCAACGTCGGCCGGCAGACGTTCGTCGCGGGCGCGAGCGCGCCGCTACCCGCCGCTTCGAATTTCAAGGCTGTTGATTTCACAAAATCGACGGTCACGGACAGATCGCCGCAGACGGCACGTTGTATGTTCACCCGGCCGCGCCTCGTCGTCTTGTGATGCTACACCGTTCACCACTTGATGTTCACATTTCACCGATGGGTACCCCACAGAACACCATTGGATGCCCGACACACAATCATTGAACACCATTGCAACACCATGGGATGCTCTGCACTCACCATGGCTGAGCGCGGAACGGCTGCTCGCAGAGGCGGAAACTCTTCCGATCACGACTTTAATAATCGACGTTCGCCTCTACCGATCGCGACTGGCGGCTACCCGCAGCCGCGCTTCATCGAGCTCCAGGTTTGCCGAGAATGCGCTGCTCGGTACCGTAGTACAAGTTCGAATGCCAATCCTGCTCGCGAATGCTATCGACGACAATGTGGAGCCGATGCCCTCGAACGCTATCGACCGCGCCTATACCCTTCGTTTTTCTGCTATCCACGTCAGTGATGCGAGATTATGGGGTTGTGCCGGGTGGATAGCGATGAGTTCAATGCGGAAGAAAGGTGGAGCTGTTCAGTTACGGCGATCGCGCATACGACGTACATCGGCGATGAGCATTACGCGACTTCGAGATTGCATGCTCTAGCGTACGGCGAAAGGCATTGACGGATGGCCAGGGCCAACAAGCGGAAAGTTGACCTAGCACGCAAGAGCGAATGATCAGCGACGGCAGTGAAAACAGCCGGCGTGCGCTGAGAGAACGGAAGCGGCTATCGCCAAGTTCTTAAAGATGCGAGGAGCAATGAGGCTAGCATTAAGTCAAGGCAATGCCGCGAGGAGCGGCACGAGCGCATTGCAGAAGGCTGGAATACGAAGTTATCTTGCCTTGCAACGAAAGTTATGCAACAATCGCCTCCCAAACAGTGACCTTCCAGCAATCGTTTTGTTGAGGAACAATAGTGTGGGAGGCAAGGCGGTGGCCGATATGGGTGCAGAGGGAGACGAGAGAGCTTTGGGAGTGACGATACAGTGACTGTGGCTCGGGATGACATAACAGGATGGTTTACCATGGCTACCCCTATTTCAGAGGAATCTGAAGAATTGCTTCCCAAAACCAGGACAGGGGGTTATTGTACGGAATACCCTTCACGCAGCCCGAGCATTTACGAAATACAGCGAAGTTCGAGCCTCAAGGACACCGACCCTGCTCATTTACTTCAAACACTAGGGTTTGACAGGGTAGCCTTGGATTAAACTTGAATCTGGCAGGGCGCCAAAACACATCCAGAGGGTTTGTGACAGCAGCAAGTTCCGACGAAAAAACTTGGGGAATCGCCGGTTTTGCGAAAGTTGAAAGGACGAAAGGAGCTGGGTTCGGGGTCGTGTAACAGCACCGACCACCACATGTACGTCGCAGCGTGTGATTGGAGGATTGGTTTAGTCAAGAACGCTACACCAATGAGAGGAAACAATGATGCCACTTCCTCTCTTCCTCCATTGGTGTACACGGGTTTCCATTACAGCTACACCACTTTGGCGGGTGGCTATTTATAGAATCAACCACAGTAGTTCTCTGAACTAATTCTCAAATCTCAACGGCCAAGTCGGCTTTTGTTACGAGAGCAATTGAGTGAGCGAGCGAGAATTGCACTATCGAAGCAAAAACTCCATTGAGCGAAGGAATGAGCGAAGACTATATAGCGAAGCGAGCGTGGTAACGGTAACACGAGAAATTGGGGTGCATTGCGTGCCTAGCGCCTGTTGGGAACAAATAAGTCTTAAGGCGCCTCTGTCGTGTCGAAACTCAGGACACTAGCGAAGCAGCCCAAATCGAAGCATCGCGAGTCAACCCTCGGGGGTTAGGGTAACCGCCTAGAGGTTACGGGAAAGTCAAAGGTCAGCGACCTTTGACTCGACAATTACAGCGCGACAGCAAGGACACACAACTGACTCGACATTGAGCAGTTGCCCGAGTCGCACTGTATCAAATCGCAACAGTAAAACGGTTTAAATATATTCGTATTCCTTGTACTCTTATATAAACCTTTGTATTTGCTTGTTTAATCAACTTACTTTGCTCTCACATACTAGTGCAAGGTGGTTCAACCACACTTTTATTCAACGCTTCCGCTATTACAATCCTACTCAGTCCTTAAACTCTACAAAGATCCTAGGGCTTCTCAGCCCAACATGGTATGAGAGCAGTTAGAGTTTAAGATCATTTTCTCTCTCAATACTTGAATACAAAGAAAGAAGACATGTCTGCAAGGAAGGAGAGGAGCTCCTCCAACGGCTCCCGAGGCACTACTCCTACTCCACCTCCTACCTCTGGCCTACAGACAGAGGAAGGCACTACCGCAAGACCAGCAGCTGGGTCCACGGAAACACCAGCAGGCTTCGATTCAAACATGATGGAGAAATTTTTCTCCTTCATGTCCTTCTACGAGCAACACCAGCAAGGAGTGCCTGCGCAGTCAAACAACAACAACAACAACAACAACAACAATGTTACTCCGATGAGCCTCGACGGCTCATCCTATGCACGCGGGATGCAACAACAACAACAGCAGCCTACCTTTGCGCCGTACGAGCCCCAACGTGGTTCCGTCAGCTTCATGCCGCAACCGCAACCTACATCGGGACAAGAAAGGACATTGGACGCGTTACAAGTCCAATCGCAATTCGCGCACGTCCTAAAACTACAAACGACAAAGCCTTTCGACGACAAAGATTTCTTTACCTGGTCGTTCGAGTTTGAACTGATGATGGAAGGAGCACAAATTCTTGGCTTCTTCGACGGGTCCCTGCCATATCCGACAAACGGGACACAATATGAGAAGCAGCAGTATACATATCAATCGATGATGACGTATACGATTCTGCTGAGGAACATCACCCCAACCCAGCAGCAGAACATCAGGATTTACCGAGGCTACGGCAACTCCGCGGAGCTCGCGTACAACCACCTGAAGAACCTGTATCAAGCAACAGACAGCGTAAACCAAAGCAGGTTAATGGCGCAGTTGACAACGATTGAAATGAAACCAGGCGAGAAAGGCATGGCTTATATCAGCCGGTGCCGCGAACTGCGCGACAAGCTTCTTCGATGCGGCGGGTCAATTTCAGAAGACGCCTTTGTCACGGTGGTCATCGGCGGTCTCGGCCCCCACTGGCGCTCCACTCGCGCCATATTACGAGCACACGGGAGGATCTCCGAAGCGGCACTCTGCGCCGAAATTCATGCTGAGCAGCAGGACCTGGACCTGCAAGAAGAAAGACACAAGAAGAAAGCTTTAGCACCAGAATTTGCTTTTCACACTCAGCGACGACACAACGGCAACAACAATCGATAACAGCAAGTGAAAATAGTACCTCCGTTCTGCCACATCTGCAAAACCTCGGGCCATCCTCGCACGCATTGCCCGTCTCGTCAGACGACACCACAACGACAACTGCGGCCTTCAAGCTCCCAAGTTGCTTCAACGCAAGCTAGTCCGACAACCACGATCCAAAATTCAACGACTTCAACTGGACAACCTGCACAAGGAGCAAGAAGCATCGTCAACTGCATGGTAAAGATAAACGATTCCTGCATTACAGAGTCGCCACCCTACAACTCACCAGAAGAGGAGCTCGACAACAGGACGCCTCGCCGCGAATCACTCCAACCGAATCCGACGTACGCCGCCATCGCTCAAAGCGAACCGTCCGGCCAAGACACTTGGTTCTTGGATAGTTGCTGCGGACAACACATGTGCTCCTCCGGACGCTTCGTACAACGCGAACATCGACTCCAGCGAGAAGTAGTCATCACGGTCGCCAACAACCAGAACCTGCGCACAAGACGACAAGGAGTCGTTCAGCTTCAATCAAGAGAGACCAACGTTATACTACACATGTCAAAAGTACTCATCGCAGAAGGACTCGGTTACAACTTACTGAGTGTTAGGCAGCTGATGGCGAAGGGGATTCACTTGGAAGCCGACAGCACCACCCAGGAATTTAAGTTATACCACGGGAGGGGCGGCCTCTACATCGGGAAAGCAGTGTTGAAGAATAACGTCTTCGTTCTTGACTTCGTCCCCGACCTAGGCACCGCAGACAGCGACGCCATCGTCAACTTTACCGACTGGACACACCCTCCGGACCTCGATCCTGATTTCAGTCCAGGAGGCTTCTGGTACTCACACACCATCCCTGAAGCAGAGCAAACACGAGCATTAGCAACAATTCAACAATCGACAGCAGCAGAGACAACATCGGCAGCAGCAGAGACAACATCGGCAGCAGCAGAGACAACATCGGCAGCAGCAACAACATCGGCAGCAGCAGGAACAACGACACCAGTCATCGTCGACGAAACACCACCAACACCCGCACAACAGCTGAACCCGACTCAACGAGAAGTCCACCGCAGCGCCAACTTCGTCGCCAGCTTCTACTCCAGCTCCGACGCATATCAACGTTCACCCGGACACCGCGCCTCCAAAGACATCTGGCACGCACGCACAGGACATCCAAGTAACACGGTGTTAAATAATACGATACGAGCAGGAGTGCTAGACAAAGACTCGCTACTACTACTCGACGACAGAGAACTTCAACGTGCACGGGGGACTTGCCTCATCTGCCCCGAGGCCGACTTACCACATCGACCCTTTTCTTCTCACCACAACCCGAGCGCACCTGCATACGCACCACTCGAAAAAGTCTAGAGCGACATCCTCTACAATCGAGAACCAGGCCAAGTAACCTATAATTACACAATTACCTTCATCGACGCCGCCACTCGATACGTCTGGCATCGCAACCTACCCAGCCGCGACATGGCACTCGCAGCATTCGCCGCTTGGCTACCGGTAGCAGAAAGGAAATCAGGAACGCAGCTGAAAAGCTTCCAGTCAGACGGAGGTGGCGAATACACCTCTCAGCGCTTCAAGCAGTACCTGGTGGAAAGGGGGATCAAGCAACTCCTCTCCCTTCCCTACGCACATCAGCAGCAGGGTGTTGCAGAAAGAATGAACAGGACCCTGCAGAACAGCATGCGCAAACTACTACGTGGCATGCGGCTACCCAACCACCAGTGGCCAGCAGCAATGGACCATGCTGTCATGCTGCACAACTTGCTTTCGTCGTCGTCACTCCCGAACAATGCATCACCGCATCTGCTGTGGACAGGAAAGCAGGGCAGCACAAAAATGTTACGAGTATTTGGATGCATGGTACAGTACCGACCCCCAGAAGCACGAGCGGGAAGATTTTCGCAACGGGCACAGTGGGGACTACACCTCGGCATCGAGAAAAATTACAACGCGTGGAGAATCTTCGACGTCCACACAAAAGAAACAGTAGCAGCACGTGATGTGATCTTCTACGAAAGACTCACCCTTCAGACGTACCTCGCCAACTTGCACGAGAACCGGGACCCCACAGGCGGCTTTCGTGGTGACCGAGCCTTCGCAACAGCAGCGGACGAAGCAGACTGGGATGAACAAAACGTCGACAACGCATCGGAGGAAGCCGGACCTCTCCCGTACTGCTCCGTCGATGTGCCCATGCATGAAGATAATCCTCGCGACAGTAACAACGCCGAAGTCTTCTACCACTTCGCCGACAACGGTTACGTAACACCTGCGACAGTCAACACCAACGAAGCAGAAAGGATAGGGCCAAATTTCATCCCCGACCCAGAAGCGGGAGACGAAGCAGCTTATCCCGAGGATCCAGAACTCCCTCGATACTCACAGACTGGGCTACAAATCCTTGGCCTCGTCACCGCAGTCCACGGGACCGCCGGCAACACTCTTCCTAAAGAGCCTGCGACAGTTCAGCAGGCTCTGGGGGGGGAACACAGGTAAAAATGGCGTGAAGCCATGGACAGGGAATGAAAGGCATTGGAGGAACGCAACACCTGGAAGGTCGTTCCCGCAAGCGTGGCACGGAACAAGACCATTCTCACCAGGAAATGGGTCTTCCGCATCAAGACAAAAGCTGACGGCACAATCGAGAAGTTCAAAGCACGCTGGGTCGTGCGTGGATTCGACCAGGAACAAGGACGAGACTTCGCCGAGACCTTCGCCCCAGTTAGTCGACATACCTCTCTCCGCATTCTTCTCGCCGTCGCCGCCATGAAGAAGAAGAAGCTGCGACAGATCGTGTCAGATATATATGACATAGCTGTTGTAGGCTATAGTGGGGTAGCACATATGGGGTACAGCTCTCTAGGGTTTGCATTTGTACCCAACTTTCACTTAGTCATTTCATTCCTGTTCTAGTATTCTCACATGGTATAGAGCGGGTTCCCTGTGGGAACTTCGCCTAGGGCCCACCGAAGCGCGCCCCGAGGCGCGCTAACCTTTTTTTTTCTCTCTCTCGAGCGACCCTCCGTGTCGCCCTTCCCTCGCGGCCCCGCTGCCCTTTCAGACGCGGCCTCGCCGCCCCTTTTCGAACGCGGCCCCGCCGCCATTTCAGACGCGGCCCCGCCGCCCACTTCGGACGCGGCCCCGCCCGCCCCTTCAGACGCGGCCCCGCCGCCCGCTCCGACGCGGCCCCGCTGCCTGCTCAGACGCGGCCCCGCCGCCTACTCAGCCGCGGCCCCGCTGCTGGCTCTGACGCGGCCCCGCCGCCCACTCGGACGCGGCCCCACCGCCTGCTCAGCCGCGGCCCCGCCGCCCGCTACGAAGCGGCCCCGCCGCCTGCTCTGACGCGGCCCCGCCGCCTCCTCAGCCGCGGCCCCGTCGCCCACTCAGGCGCTGCCCCGCCGCCTGCTCAGCCGCGGCCCCGCCGCCCGCTCCGACGCGGCCCCGCCGCCTGCTGAGCCGCGGCCCCGCCGCCCTCCCCTCCGACGCGGCCCCGCCGCCTACCCGGACGCGGCCCCGCCGCCCGTTCCGACGCGGCCCCGCCGCCGTCACTCGCGGCCACCCCGCCCTTGCGCGGCCCCCGCCGCCTCCTACCTGCGGCTCTACGGCCGCCTCTATTGCGGCCCTTCGCCGTCCCTGCAACCCGGCCCCGCCGCCCCCCTTCCTCTTGCGCCGCCCAACTGCGGCAGCCGAGCCGCCAGCCTGCAGCAGCCGAGCCGCCCACCTGCAGCAGCCGAGCCACTCACCTGCAGCAGCCGAGCCGCCGGACCACCGAGCAGCAGTGCACCCGAGCCGCCCTGCACCTGAGCCGCTCTGTCGCCGAGCCGCCCGGGAGCCGAGCCGCCCACTAGCCGAGTCGCTGAGTCACCGAGCCGCCCTTCTGCAGAGCTGCCCGACCTGCCCTGCCCGGTGAGCACAGTACCGCTGTCGCTGCGTGCTCTTCCCCTACTGCTTGCACTGCTTCGCTGTCGTCGTCATGGCTACCCCTAGTGTCCTAGCTTTTGACGCTGAGGGTCGCGCCATTGACTTTGAGGTCTGGGTAGACGACCTGCAGTTGTTTTTACAGTGCGATAGGGCAGACGGCCTCTCTCTCTTTGACCTCACTTCTGGCGCCTCTCCTGCCCCTGCTGCTGATGCTGATCCCACTGTGCGCTCTCAGTGGGCCACCCGCGATACTGCTGCACGTCTTGTTGTGCGTCGCCACCTCCCTACCTCTGAGCGCGCGCACTTTAGTCAGTACAAGAGTGCTCAGACCTTGTACGACGCTGTAGTTGCGCGCTACTCCTCCCCTGCCACTGCTGCACTGAGCCGTCTCATGCTTCCCTACCTCTTTCCTGACCTCTCTGCCTTTCCCACTGTTGCTGACCTCATTACGCACCTCCGCACTAGTGACAATCGCTACCGCGCCGCCCTTCCTGCTGAGTTTTGCGCCGCCCCCCCCATGTACATCACTCTCTACTACGTAGTCGCGCGCCTCCCTGACTCCCTTCGCGTAGTCAGGGACCACTTTCTCGCAGTCTGTCCCACCACCCTCACCGTCGACGTCCTCGAGAAGGCCCTCCTCGCGGCGGAGAAGAGCATCGTCGCTGTAGGAGCTTCTCGTGGTGACCCTCGCACACCCATCTTTGAGGGGTGCTCTCCTTCCCCCCCTCCTGCCCTCTGTTGCCTCTGCTGCTGCTGCCGACCTGCTTGGTCTCGAGTCGGTTGGCGCGGCGTCTGCCCCTAGTGGGAGACGCCGCTCTGGCAAGGGCAAGGGGGGCAAGGGCGCTGGTGGAGCTGGAGGGAACGGTGGAGGTGGCGGTGGAGGCGGCGGAGGGAGTGGGGGGTGGCGGCGGGAGTGGTGGCGGGGGTGGTGGTGGTAGTGGTGGCAGCGGCGGAGGAGGCGGCGGTGGTGGCGGCGGCGCTGGTGGTGGCGGCAGTGGTGGCGGTGACGGTGGGGGAGGCGGGTGGCGGAGGAGGCGGTGGTGGCGTAGGAGGTGGAGCTGGTCGAGGCGGGGTACCCAGCAGCGGAGCGGCGGTGGTGGTGGTCAGCGCTCGCAGCAGCAGCAGCATCAGCGTTCGCGTGACGTCCCTCCGCCCCAGCAGCTCTGTGAGTGGTACGCTCGGCGTCAGAGGGGTGGGGGTACTGGTCCTTGTACCTACGTCCTTCGCTCTGGCGATCGCGCGGGTGAGCAGTGTGGGGGTGCCCACTCCACCCAGCGCTGCTTTGGCCGCCTGACGGACGCTTGGCGTCAGCAGTTCCCCGGGGCTAGTGAGATCCCTCGCTGGGTTGAGCTTCTTAGAGCTGGTGTAGCGATCTTTGATCTTGATTTTGATGCTATCCTTGCTGCTATGTATACTGTGACTATTAGTGAGGAGGGTGAGTGTTACCGGTGTTTCCCGCCTGACCCAGGCATTGGTACTGCTGCGCTAGGTGCTTGTGAGGCTGCTGCTCTAAGTGCCAGTGCGTCTGTGCTCTCAGGTGCTTGTGAGACTGCGCTCTCAGGTACTGCGTCGCCTCCGTCCTCCCTCACTTTCACACTTGACTCCGGGGCTTCTCGCTCCTTCTTTCGAGACCGCACTACCCTCACGCCGCTTGACCGGCCCGTTGCGGTCTCCCTGGCTGACCCCTCTGGGGGTCCTGTCCTCTCTCACTTCTCCACTGTCCTCCCGTGTCCGGCTGCCCCTTCGGGCACCCTGTCTGGTCTGTACCTTCCCTCGTTCTCTACGAACTTGGTGAGTGGTGCGGACCTGCAGGATGTGGGGGTTCACCAGTTCACTCCTTCGAGTCAGCGGGTGACCCACTGCACGGAGGCACGCACAGGCCGACACCTGGCCACGTTCTCGCGTCGGCCGGGGTCGAGTCTCTACACCCTGACCGTTGAGTCTCCTCCTATCCCTGCGTCTGGTCAGGTAGCTGCGTCAGGTCAGGTGCTTGGTGCTGCGTCCCGGTCAGGTCCTGAGTCTGCCCCCTGATCTTGTCGCCTCCTGTCTCACGAGACTCTCCTGTGGCACCACCGTCTTGGCCGCCCCTCCTTGCCCCGTCTTCGGAGCATGGCTTCCCGTGTCCTTGTCTCTGGTCTTCCCCAGTCTCTCCCTCCCCTTCCCTCCGGGCCAGGACCTTCCTGTGTCCCCTGTGTCGAGGGTCGCCTCCGGGCTGCTCCTCACTCCTCCCCAGTTCCCCCCCGACAGAGGCTCCTCTGCAGACGCTTCACATGGACGTGTGGGGCCCAGCCCCCGTCCGTGGGCAGGGTCACGAGCGCTACTTTCTGTTGGTGGTTGACGACTACTCGCGTTACACCACAGTCCTCCCCTTGCGCAGCAAGGGTGCTGTCACTGAGGTGCTGATCGACTGGATCCGCGAGGCTCGTCTCCAGCTCAGGAAGAGCTTCGGCTAGGACTTTCCTGTTCTGCGTCTGCACTCGGACAGAGGCGGAGAGTTCTCCTCGCGCCTTCTGCGAGACTACTGTCGTGCACGGGGTATCCGCCAGACCTTCACGCTTCCGGACACTCCACAGCAAAATGGGATTGCTGAGCGCCGCATTGGCATGGTCATGGATGTCGCTCGTACGTCCATGATGCATGCGGCTGCCCCCCATTTTCTGTGGCCGTTTGCGGTGAGGTACGCGGCGCATCAGCTCAACCTTCACCCCCGGGTCTCTCGGCCCGCGATGTCCCCAGTCTTGCTGTGGACGGGGAAGGTTGGCGATGCGTCGGCGTTCCGTGTCTGGGGATCTCGCGCGTTTGTCCGCGACTTGTCTGCGGACAAGCTGTCCCCTCGTGCTGCTCCCTGTGTCTTCCTTGGCTTCCCCACAGACGCTCCCGGGTGGCAGTTTTACCACCCCTCCTCTCGTCGTGTTCTGTCCTCCCAGGACGTCACGTTCGACCAGTCAGTCCCCTTCTACCGCCTCTTCCCCTACCGCACTCCTTCCCTCCCCCCTCCGCCGGACTTCCTTGTGCCGGTTCCCCCCCCGGTAGACCCCCTCCCCCCTCAGGTTCCTGCCCCCTCAGGTCTGTCCCAGGTGGACGCAGTTGACCCGGTCGAGGTTACTGGTGACTCTGGTGCTGCTGCGGGTGCTGGGCCTGGGGGTGCTGACTCTGGGGGTGCTGTGCGCCGGGGTGCCGAGCCTGGAGGTGCTGCTACTGGGGGTGCTGAGCTTGGGGGTGCTAAGCCGGGGGATGCTGTGCCTGGAGCTGCTGAGCTAGGGGGTGCTGGGTCTGGGGGTGCTGGGTCGGGAGCTGCTGCGCCTGGGGGTGCTGAGTCTGGAGCTGCTGAGCCTGGAGGTGCTGCGTCTGGAGCTGCTGAGCCTGGGGTTTCTCCTGCTGCTGCGTCTCGCCGGGAGCCCCTCTCTCCAGAGGAGCTGCGCGAGTGGTTTGCTCGCCGCTGGAGGCGTGCTGCTGGAGCTGGAGCTTCTTCGACCGTCGAGGGTGCTGGTGCTGCCGGTCCCGGAGCTGCTGGGCCTGCGGGTCCTACTGGAGCTGGAGCTGCTGAGGGTGTTGGTGCTGAGACTACTACTGTCTGCCCTGGCGGTGGTTCTGCTGCTGGTGCTGCTGGGGGTCCTGCCGCTGGAGGTGTTGGTGGCACTGGTGCTGTCGCTGAGGGTGCTGGTGCTGTCCCTGCTGAGTCTGGAGCTGCCGCGTGGCCTCGGCCGTACTTCGTTCCGCTCCTGCAGCAGGTTCTTGGTCTTTCTCCTCCGGTAGAGTGTCCACAGCCTGTCCAGTCACAGTCACTGTTGGAGCCTTCCTCTCCACTGCCTGCTCCCTCTCCTTACACTGGTCCTACTGGAGGTCTTGCTGAGCGTCATGAGCCTGCGTCTCGTCCCGCGTCGCCTGTTCGTCCTGCTCGCGCTAGTGGTCGCAGTTCGCGTCAGCATCCTCCTCCTGTCCCTGGCACGCACCGGATGTCTCTGCGTCCGTCCACTGCTCCTCTGCGTGCCCCTTTGCCTTCTCCTCCTGCGTCCTCTCTTCCTGCTCTCGCCGACCCTGAGTTGGACTCTCTTCGTGCTGCCAGTCCTACTGTCACGTGTCTCCTTGCTATTGTTGTCACTGACCCTTCTTTCGAGTCTACTGCTGCGTCTGCTCTCGTTACTGAGCTCGTCAACTTTGCTGCTCGCTGTCGCTTAGACTACGCTGCTAGTCTTGTCGCTGAGTCTGAGTCTGTCTGTCCTCCGTCCGTCGGGGGTGAGTGTGCCCTTGGCACGGACGTCCTTGAGGACAGGCAGGAGGAGTTCCAGTGTCTGGCAGCTGCTTCACCTCATCTCGTGTCCGTACTGCTTACCCCTGAGGGAGACCCGGATGCACTTGACAACCCGACTCCGCGCTCTTACGCGGAGGCTATAGAGGGTCCCTACTCCTCTCAGTGGCAGGCAGCTATGGATGCAGAGATGGCTTCCTGGAAGTCCACAGGCACCTACGTTGACGCGGTTCCCCCTCCTGGGGCGAACATCGTAAGTGGCATGTGGATCTTCAGGGTGAAGCGGCCGCCGGGTTCTCCACCTGTCTTCAAGGCGCGGTACGTTGCTCGTGGCTTCAGTCAGCGGCAGGGAGTTGACTACTTTCAGACCTTCTCTCCCACCTCGAAGATGACCACTCTTCGGGTGCTGCTGCACATAGCCGCTCAGCGCGACTACGAGCTTCACTCTCTTGACTTCAGCACTGCGTTCCTGCAGGGTAGCCTGCACGAGGAGATCTGGCTGCGCCGTCCACCTGGCTTCACTGGGACTTTTCCTCCTGGCACCCAGTGGAGCCTCCGACGGCCAGTCTACGGTCTCCGCCAGGCACCGCGTGAGTGGCACGACACACTGAGGACTACGCATGCGGCTCTTGGGTTTGCTCCTTCTACTGCTGACCCGTCGCTGTTTCTGCGCACCGACACTTCACTGCCGCCGTTCTACATCCTCGTGTACGTCGACGACTTGGTCTTTGCCACAGCGGACACTCCTGGACTCGCCTACGTGAAGTCCGAGCTGCTGAAGAGACACACGTGCACAGACCTGGGTGAACTGCGCAGCTACCTTGGCTTGCAGATCACTGGGACAGAGCACGCCGCACCATTACCTTGACTCAGTCACACATGGTGCAGCAGGTCCTTCAGCGCTTCGGCTTCACGTACTCCTCGCCTCAGGCCACTCCTCTGTCTACTCGTCACTCGCTCTCAGCTCTGCCTTCGGATGAGTCCGTAGAGTCGAGTGGCCCGTACCCAGACCTTGTTGGCTGCCTCATGTACCTGATGACCTGCACACGACCTGACCTTGCATACCCTCTGAGCATTCTTGCACGCTATGTTGCTCCTGGGAGACACCGACCAGAGCACATGGCTGCAGCGAAGAGGGTATTGCGCTACCTGTGCAGTACGTCGGGCATGGGGCTAGTGCTTTGGAGGGCGGAGTCCAGTGGTCCTTACAGGCCACGCTGACGCTTCTTGGGCTGACGACCAGGCTACGCAGCGGTCGTCACAGGGTTACACCTTCAGTCTTGGTTCCGGCTCTGTCTCGTGGCGGGCTACTCGTTCGTCTTTCGGTTCTCAGCTCCAGTTGTGAGGCTGAGATCTACGCCGGGGCCATGGCTGCACAGGAGCTTCGCTGGCTCACCTACCTGCTGACTGACCTTGGAGAGCCGCCTCGTTCTCCTCCAGTGCTGTACGTAGACAACAAGGCCATGCTGGCCTTGTGTCGAGAGCAGCGTCTGGAGCACAGAACGAAGCACATTGCTCTTCGCTACTTCCTTGCTCGTGAACTACAGCAGCGTGGACAGTTGCGGCTTGCGTACGTGGCCTCTGAGGCCAACACTGCTGATGTGTTCACCAAGGCACTCGCGCCTTGTGACCATCAGCGCTTCTGCACCCAGCTGGGTCTTGTGCCTGTCTTGCCTCACTTGCTCTCCTCTTGACTTTACTTGTACTGTGACATATATTATACCTGCTCTTGCTTGTCTAGTTTTATATATATATGTCTGTACTCCTGCATGTGAACTGGCCTCTGGCCCTGCTCTTGTGCTCGGACTTTGTGGTGACTTTGTGATCCACCCTGAGCTTGCTTTGCTTTACTTTGCTTGACTGGTCTTGTGACCCCTTGTTCTCCCCCCACTTTGCCTATGGGGGTGTGTTAGATATATATGACATAGCTGTTGTAGGCTATAGTGGGGTAGCACATATGGGGTACAGCTCTCTAGGGTTTGCATTTGTACCCAACTTTCACTTAGTCATTTCATTCCTGTTCTAGTATTCTCACAGACGATGTCGCCAACGCATTCCTCTACGCACCCGTCGACGCAGACATTTTCGTTCGAACTCCCACACGGCACTCACGGAAAACCCAATCAAGTCTGCCAACTGCTAAAGTCCCTCTACGGAATCAAGCAGGCCCCACGGCTGTGGCAACAGCACCTGCACACCCGCCTCATCCGCATCGGATTCCGCCAACTGCCCCATGACCAGGGCATGTACCGACTCACTAAAGGCGCCAACTACATCCTACTAATCGTCTACGTCGACGATCTCCTCTACATCGGCTCCACCGACGACGTCACACCTGGTTCGAAGGGGAGCTGCAGAAAGATCTCACGCTCACGGTTTCTTCTACCGTCACGCAGTACCTTGGACTCAAACATCCGCGAAAAAGAAAACGCAATCTATCTAAGCGCCGAGAAATACGCCGACACGATCGCAAGCGCTTCTCGCTCACCCCTACCGCTATCGCCACGCCATACCGCTACACGGCAGGAAACGGCCAAGGAAACTCCACCCTACTAAAAACCACCGGAATACGCGACCTACCAGCGAAAACTGGGCTGTCTGCTCTTCGCAACCGTCACCTGTCGCCCGGATCTATCCTACTCCGCGAGTCAACTCGCCACCTATCTCAAGAAACCCGAAGCTGAGCACATGGCGGAGCTCGATCGCGCACTGCACTACTTCGTGAGCACACCGACGATCGGCCTAACTTACTACAAGGGCGAAGCTACGACGACGAAACTAATCGGCTACGTCGATGCTGACCATGCCGGCGACTCTGATAACAGGCGTTCTCGTACCGGCTACGTCTATCGTCTCGAGCCTATCGGGCCTATCTCCTGGCAGTCGAGTAAGCAGGAACTAATCGCTCTCTCTTCAGCTGAAGCAGAATACATCGCCCTCTGCTCAGCCACCAAGGAAGGACTCTACCTTCGCGAGCTGCTGGAAGAAGCAAGTTAGCCGAGTTACCCAACTTCACCCTGTTCTGCGACAACCAATCTGCAATTCGCATCGCCAACAAAAGCGGATTCGCGAACAGAATGAAGCATATCGCTCTGCGATACTTCTTCTTAAAGGACGAAATCGAGAAAGGGAAACTCGAATTATCCTACTGTCCCACGTCCGAGATGGCAGCCGATTATTTGACAAAGAAACTCGGAAAACAGAAGTTCGAGTACTGCATGCTGCTGACTGGACAAGGCCACGTCACCATCAGCGACACTCCAGAAGCGAAGGGGAGTGTTGGGAACAAATAAGTCTTAAGGCGCCTCTGTCGTGTCGAAACTCAGGACACTAGCGAAGCAGCCCAAATCGAAGCATCGCGAGTCAACCCTCGGAGGTCAGGGTAACCGCCTAGAGGTTACGGGAAAGTCAAAGGTCAGCGACCTTTGACTCGACAATTACAGCGCGACAGCAAGGACACACAACTGACTCGACATTGAGCAGTTGCCCGAGTCGCACTGTATCGAATCGCAAC